TTGCTTCAATCTTAATTTTAGGCTAAAATAAAACAATTTGTGATATATTGAATTGATTTGGCTCAATTTTAAGGTGGGAATCAACCTCAATTTTGATTGAATACTTTGGTAAATACTTTGGTATTTCAAAATACTTTGGTATTTCAACCAAATACTGGCTCTAATAAGAGTTTTCTTCTAAAATAAAGCAATTTGAGCTATTTCAATTCAATTTTGCTTGATCTTAATAGAGAATTAATTCAAAACTAATGTATTTTATAAATATAATCGCTTTAATCTTAATTTTAGGCTGAAATAAAGCAATTTGTGACATTTTCAATCGATTTGGCTCAATTTGAAGTTGAGAATCAACCTGAATCAAAGTTTTTCAACCAAATACTGACTTAAATAAAGGTTTTCTTCCYAAATAAAGCAATTTGAGCTATTTTCAATAGAATTTTGCTCGATTTTACTCCAGAACTAATTCAAAATTAATGTTTTTTATTAAAATAATTGCTTCAATTCTAATTTTAGGCTGAAACAAAGCAATTTGAGCCATTTCCAATTCAATTTTGCTCGATTTTAATACAGAATTAATTCAAAACTAATGTATTTTATTAGTATAATCACTTTAATCTTAATTTTAGGCTGAAATAAAGCAATTTGTGATATTTTCAATCGATTTGCCTCAATTTGAAGTTGGCAATCAACCTGAATCAAAGTTTTTCAACCAAATACTGACTTAAATAATAGTTTTCTTCCAAAATAAAGCAATCTGAGCTATTTTCAATTCAATTTTGCTCGATTTTAATACAGAATTAATTCGAAATTAATGTATTCTATAAATATAATTGCCTCAATCTTAATTTTAGGCTGAAATAAAGCAATTTGTGTTATTTTCAATCGATTTGGCTCAATTTTAAGTTAGGAAATAACCTAAATCAATGTATTTCAACCAAATACTGACTTAAATAAGAGTTTTCTTTCAAAATAAAGTAATTTGAGATATTTTCAATACAATTTTGCTCGATTTTACTACAGAATTAATTCAAAATTAATATTTTTTATTAAAATAATTGCTTCAATTCTAATTTTATACTGAAACAAAGCAATTTGAGCTATTTTCAATTCAATTTTGCTTGATTTTATTACAGAAATAATTCGAAATTAATGTATTTTGTAAATATGATTGCTTCAATCATAATTATAGGCTGAGATAAGGCAATTTGTGATATGTTCAATCGATTTGGCTCAATTTTAAGTTGGGAAGCTACTTTTGATGGCATACTACCATAGGATAAATGAAGCCTAATGAGAACCATGTGGATGGAACTTAAGGGCATTTCTAACGTTTTTACTTGCTAAAACTTTGCGATACACGAAAGATTTGCAAGTGTTATTGGGTTCTCCACATTTAATCCTGATGAAATTAAGGGGATGGCTGACTGGATACTAAAAGAAACTCAAGATTAGTTTGGAAATCTAGTAGGAATGTTCATAGAACGAAAAATTATTAGGTGGTTAATTAAAATAATCATAGGTGCCGTACCGAGATATAGAAACCGTTGGTGATCTTTAAAATTTAGTTTTTGCTAGTTTTTAAAATAATTTAACTTAAAGACTTTTCGAAGAAGAACTTATTTAAAGTAGGGACCCTCTTACAATTGACTTGCCGAACCAAGTAATAATGACTTTGCCGAACCAAGTAATAATGACTTGTGAAGCCAAGTGATAATGATAGGTGTTGTTTAACAACCATAATTTCAAAGTGAAAATGAGCATAAACCAATGACAACTCTGTATCTGATAATTTCAAGTTCATCCCAAGCGTCGTATTAAATCGGAACGAAAAGAATTAAATTTGGCAATGAAATAAGGTTATTCTTTATGTTTAGGAATTTTTCATATTTTTAACATTAAGTCAAGCGATGTTTTAGAAAACTATTTGCTGTTGGGTAAGGAGAATGGTTATGTAAATAAATCAAAAGTTTTGTTAGATCAATTTGGAGGAAAGAAAAAGAACATGAAGACGTAAATCTTCGGATGTGGCGAACAGCACATGCTGATTTGTATCCAGTTGTTACGCAAATGGATCATTTGTCTGGATGGAAGAATAGAACCATTATCTAGCAAGGAAGCTTTCAAGTTCCTTGTTGATGCCATACGTAACCGAGCATGCTACCACCCAAGTGATCCACCCTTGAGGGACAGAAGACAACTTGGAAGTTGAATACTCGAAAGGAAAAAACTGTCTGTTACCCATGACAGCTTGTGAAGACACTTGAACTGTCCACATCCTTGGTCTCAGCCAGAATAGCAACTCCTAGTCTCTTGGTTGAGCCATTCAATGATGACTCATGATGTCCACTACCACCAGTCTTCACGTCAAATGTTGTTAACTAATGCGGAAGACTCAGAAGATCAGTACACCATGTCATTATGTGTTGAATCCAGAATTGATCAAGCTATCCGAAACTCCAGAAGATCATAATGGATGCAAGGTTACTTGGTTTGTTATTTAGAACCTTGCCTTTATTTTTGTAAAATATCGATTCCCTGAATTTTGCTCCTTGAACCAGTTAGATGAAAATTTTTGATATTAATAATGATAACCAAGAGTTCAAGTAGGAATATCCAGGTGGATAGTTAAGTTAGTTTGTAAGTATTTTAGTATTCTTTTGAAAAGCCATGGGTTGTTGAAACCCATGTTTTTCAGTAAAGGGGGGAGTAGTTGTGATGGGCTAAAAAGCCCTTGATGTTCTTTTTAAAGACTTAAAGTCTTTGATATTGTAAAGAGACCAAACCTATGAAGTTAAATTGCGGTCAATAACACAGACTCTTCGGAATTCATAACGTAAACACAATTAGAGCAGGCGACGAGTTTTTCGCGGAAGACTTAAAATCTTAAGTGCGTTTTATGATTCTTATGATTCACTAAATATTCGCGCTAGACTGTCCTTGCCCTGTGCACTGGAGACAACCCATCGCAAGAGATGACGTGTTATTCGCCCTATAAAAAGGAAGCGCGAATATCGCTAAGAGATCAGTCAAAAACCAGTCGTCTAATCGAATCAGACTAGTTGTGTCAATTGAAGAAGAAGCTGCCAAAACATCATGTGCTATCATCTGAGGCCAGAAGCTATCAGCCCAAAGCAGCCTGAATGTTCTATTGCATAGTCATGAGCTGTAAGTTTTGATTTATTTTTCCTTTGACTGTTCACGTTGCTCCGACTTACCACGGCGTACCATATTAGGATTTTGTTGTGGATTTTCGAACGAAGCCGTTATCAAAATTTCTAAATTATTTAAGTAATGTTTTGCTAAACTAAAGTGTCTGGGCCGGGATGAACTTGAAAAGTAACCGTGTTGAAAGATGGATAGTTTCATGAGTCGACGACAGAGATTTGGTCTCTGGTTACAATTCAAAAAAACCCCAAGTTAGGTTTAAAATATTAGTTTCATTTAGCGTTTGTTTCTTATCAGAGTGTTAAGTTGACAAATGAAAACCAGAAATGTCATTCGATGCATAGATAGATAAGCAATTACAATGTGTTAGAAATCAGTACCAATTTTGTGGAATTTCGTGAGAGTATGACTTCATCACTATTCGTTCCCGATGATGTCATTGCTCCCACTTGAGATGAAGGTCTGTCTGGAGCCCTACGTGACTATGTGGAGGTCACCCTGTGGAAGACGGGGACAAGGGAACTAGACAAGGAACCACCAATCTGGAGTACTCGGGCCGATCATTCCGTTTTTAGTTTTTGTCGGATGAACATTAATGTAAAATACTAAAATAAATCCTGATTTTGAAAGTCTTGGATTTTTCTTTTACTTAGACGCCAAATAATCATTTAATTTTCTAACAAATGTTTTTCCAAATTAAATAATAAATACATTTTGGTTGTTTTTCCTAATTTCGTTAAAGTCCATAGTTTGTGCAATTTCCGTTTAAATGTAATAATGTCTCTTAAAACATTAATGCTTTTGTTGTTAGAAAATAGTTTCAGTTTTGCATTATGACTTTGATAAGGTCTAAAATAGGAATATCCCCTATTTTAGACAATTGTTTCCGCTTAACATTTATTTACCCTTTTTGTATTATTCACTTATATCTTGTTAACCATTTTTATTTTATTCCAAATACATTAATTTAATAATTAAATGGATTTTTAATTGACTGCACCTTACTCTCCTGAAACCGATTGATCTCACGGGTTGGCTGAGGTCCTACGTTCAAAGAAATTTAATCGCTCTGTTTGGTGGGCCACCGCTCGCTCAAAATAAAGGTAGGTTCAAAAAGTTGCAAAAAACTCAATAACCCGCCACATTATTTCATAGAGTGGATTTTTAAACCACGAGTGTAACGAGTGGTTTATCATTCACGAGTACAACATTTTATTCTTCGAATTAGACTCAACAAGGCTTAAACTTGCTTTAAATCTGTTAAAAATTATTTAACGTTTCGTCTTGAGAAATGCCAAATAGTTGTCAAAACTTTCTTACATGGGAGAAAAACCGTAAATTTTGACAGTATCGAAGAATAAAAAGTATTTTATCAGTATTTATTTTACGGAATTCTAGTTTTTTAACTTAATAATATGTTTGGTTGCATATCCTATTTTTAAACGATCTCTCAGTGACGTCAATTTGCGCGAATAATGCGCACACGTGATTGGTGCATAGTTACGAAGCAACCTTCTTAGTTTATAAATCTTGTCTTCACAAGAATTGTGGTAATTTTCGTTTTACGTGGTTGGCAGTTTTGATAACATAGATAAATGGTGTGAGCGGTTATTTTGTTTTATGTTGTTATGTGGTCCGGAAAATTCGTTTTTTCACGTGAAGCAGACCTGTAAGACCCCCTAATTTGTGAATTTCTCACTTTCAATTTGGGAATTCTCTCAGTTGTCAGTGTTTCCGTGCATCGGTAAAACCACCTAACCTCACTTACTGAAAGTCTAGTACCATGGATATTTCTCACAAACTGGACGACTGTTGCACTTTTTTAGAGTCACACAAAGTGACTTCACGTAAAGAAGGCTGTAGCAGTTTAAACGCCTACATCGATCAACATTCCACAATTGAGTTTTTGAATAATGAAGGGGTTGACTGGTGGCCCAAACTATTGTCTTCAATCCAGAGCGCCATGGCCAAGGTAAGCTGTTTTATTTTACGATTTTGTTTAAATCAACTATCCTAGGATCACAACAAGATCTTAGAAGACTCTCGCAAGAAGGGCACGAACCCCGTAGCCCCCCAAAGTGTCGACTTATTTGAGCATTTCGTGCGAGTGGCTATTAAATATAGTTGTGGGTTAAATTTTCGCAAAATTTTTTGCTTTATAATTGAGGAGTTGCACGACGGGAATAAAAAGTACTTTCATTACATTTTCTTAAAGATTATTTCGCAAAGTTTTCTCTCTAATCCGAAAATTCGGAGCTTGTTACAAGGACAGGACTGGGAAGGGCTTTACCTCATATTAAAAACATTGAAAACAGAGGATTTGAAGTGCTTAGCGCTTGTGATAAAATGGGGGCCTTTACATAAACTCTCTGTGAGTTTGTTAAGGGGTGAATTTGGTTTTGTCAAGGATTTGTGTCACGAGATGTCGTCATTGGCACCCAAACCACGACAGGAAACTCTTCTCGAACTTGTCTACGATTTTTGCCAAAACGTACGATTTTTTATGTTTTCCTAGATCAAATAATTGTGACTCAATTTTAGACGGCGAAAGACAACAGAATGGCCTGCTGTAAATTGGGTGAAGATATTTTCAAACAAATCATCACTTTCTATGAACGAAACTCGAATGATAGTAAAATAAAATTGAAGATTATTGATTTTTTCTTGTTACAAATGGCCTTGCACCATCCTGGTGGAGCTAAATTCGGCGACCCTGCTGCTTATGCTGTTTCATCTGACGTGTGGCAGCATTGTCTCTCAAACATTTACGACATTCTCACCAATGAAATTGATAACAATCTTGGACGAATGAATCGAAATCAGTCTTTTTTTATAGTAAATAATGACATTTTACAGCTGAGTCAGACTTTCACTTGTCTTTTTGTCGGAGTTTGCAGACAGGTAAGAACTTCATCCGGGTCAAATTTTCATTTTTTTTTAATTTAATTTTTTTTCTCAGTTATTTGTCGGTGACATTGACTTTGAAGAACCGGTAACCAAACGCGGGCGAATCGAATTCAGTTTTGCCAACCTAATTCGAAAAATAAATAACACCAAATCGTGGCTATGGTAAGTCCCAGAAGTGATTTTCAGATAGCGCCACTTGAAATTTTAAAAATAGTTATGGCCGCCTCATTCCGCTATTTTAGTGTGTTGAGTACAGATTTGTCAACAAGAAATTACCACCTTGGATTTGAATTTTTAAGAAAATTACGTTTTTCATGTTGTTTGTAACTAGAATTTTCAGAAGTAATTTTGAATGCTTAGGCTTTGAATGCTTTGACACTAGTTACGATATGTTTGTCACTACAAACCAACCTAACCAAATTTATGGCAACCTATTCACGAATATCCCTAAATCCTAGGTAGTCATTTCTTGTTGATACGATAATAGAATACTTTAATCTATACCATCGCTATCAGAGAAATCTAGTACAGTCAAATTGAAACCGATTGTATGAGATTGTTACTGTAAAATCAAATCAAAATGTCAGTGTCGTTACTCATTTATCATTTACGTCAAGTTAAACATTGTCCATTTTTATTTTATTTGCTTTTTGTGGCAAATACGACAAAGAGTTATTAAGAAAGTTGTTTAGGATCAACATTTAGGCCCGTATATCAAATTTCAAAATCATCGACTAACTATGATTTTTCATTATTTTTTTTGTTTATTATTTCATAAATCAAAGACTGATTTTTAACAGTTTTTTTTTATTTCGAATAAATAAATAAAAAAATTAATAAATACCTGTTTGAGAAGATTTCCCTTGCAATTCAACGTAGAAATGCTGCTAGCATTCGGGGCACCTTCTCAGAGTCCGCCTTATTAACCGAAATTTTTGTTTTGTAATTTTTACTTATACATATCTATTTTATTTATTAAAATAAATAAAAAAATAGTATATGAAAAAACGCGTTTCGTAAGACAAGTTTTATGGAACGAGTTCAGGTGAAACGAGCAGCGAAGCAAGTGTTTTATAAAGAACGAGTTCCCACAACTATAGTTTTTTTTTAATTGTTGGTAGGGGTAGTGTGAATCAAGAACACGACATGACCTCCGTCGGTTTTTGACATTTGACAGTTTTTGACATTTTGTCAATAAAGTCAAAAATTAAAGCTTCTCCTTGGCATTAGGATTTTTCTAGGGCTTAAATTCCGATTGTTTGCGATTATATAAACAGTTTTCCCCATTTAAAATGAAATTACAAATGACCTACGTGACGGTAAGACACACTTGTTATAGTGAGAGAAATAGCGTGACCGACCTTACGCAAATACGTAATGAATTATTAATTGACCCACACGCGTAGAAGAAAAAACAAACTTTACTAAACTATTTTTTCTACTTTGCGCGTTTTACCCAACATAAAAGTCAATTTTTCAAAATTAGGAACTTTTGCTGTAATAAGGTTGTGGATGGTAATAAATGTCACAAAGTTTGAAAGTTCCATTTACGAAGTGTCAAATCTCAAGTATTTTTCAAATTTGGTGAATTAACAACGAATACTCCAAATATTTCATGCACACCACCTAAAAAAAGAGAAATCACTCAAAACGTCACTGAAAATCACCATTACCAACCTTTAGAAAGTAAATTATACTAGTCTATTTCAGCACCCAAATCGGTGTTGAAAAGGCTTATTAAAGCATCGATTTTGGTATCGAAATAAGCTTTCTTTCAGACGCAAAATAGAAATATACTTTTTTCTACTCTCACGCCTAAAACACGTATTATCGTATATGTACACCCGGGGAAAAAACTATTCACCAGTCTAACTTTCTGCTCACACTGCGCTTTGTTGCAATAGTGTTTTCGACTAACTATTTGGGGAGCAGGTAATATCTCGAAAGACCCTTATTTAGGAAGTTGCTCCGGACTCGAGGACACACGTTTCTTCAAAACTGTCTTATTCTGAAAATTTCCTCAATGAGTATAGATTATTAAATGGTGAATACTGATTATAATAATTTGCAAAATGACACTAAGCAAATTTTAGAGAAAAAAATGCACGCCCATGTATTTCATTACCTTATCAAAATTTTTTGATTTACTTTTAATTTTATTAACAAATAGCTAGGTTTATTCGTGTTTTATATTTATTTTTATTACTTCTAAACAAAGCAAAAAACCCAAAGTGGTAAATTTAATGCCATAATAATAATAATAACTAATATTATACAGTATGTCCACGGATTTTTTTATTTTACGCTAACACTGCAAAAGAAAAATATTTTTTGCTTCACCTGAAACTAGTAATTCTGTAATTAAAAGTTCATTATTTTCACCCAGTGGAAAATTTAATTTTTCTCTTGATTTTGAACTTGCAATAACACTATAGTCTACAAATAACAACATGTTTAATATACTTTTAATCGAATTATTATTTTTATGTTAACTTACCTTTAATTAAACAAAAATAATTGTTAAATTTTTCTATCACTTCACAATTTTTTATTACATATGATAATTTTCCTGCTTTCTGCACAAATGCCTCCGATTAAATTTTTTCTTAATTTAAATTGTTGCTGAATTATTGCAAAATTATTACCAAATGCATCTAAATAAGTCTTAAAAACATTTTATTGACTTGCATTTGAACTTCTTTTTTAAAAATTTAGGGAGCATGAGTGACGAACAAGACGAGCGGTTTCATCAAGATCTGAAGGGTTTTCGAAGATCGACACCAAGGTTTTTGGGATGAAAATATGTTAGTAGATGACTGTTGAATTGTTATAAAGAAAACTGAATAAAACGAAGTAAAATAACTCAATTTTAATTTGTTCTTTGGCGGTTTTTGTATTTTTGTTAATTACATATTTCTTAAACTGGACTTTTTTAAATATATTTTTCGAACTTAGTGCCTCAAAATCTATAAGAAATTATAACTTTCAGCTAAGGTATAAAAAAAGCGTGTAAACTAGTGTAATTTTTTCTCTGCGTTTTAAATCCCATCACATTGGCGTTTTATTTTTTTGACAACAATGTTGCTTTGACAGATGAGTTAACGCAGGTTAAATAACAAAAATGTTTGTAAAAAACATAATTTTAATAAATGGCAGGTCAAAAAACACCTTTTAGAAAAAAAACAGTCATTTTTAATAAAAACAATCATTATTCAATTATTCAATTAATAATTAATTGTCAAAGTGACATCCTGACATCGTCGTCAAAAAAATAAAATCGCCAATCTGATGGGACTTGAAAAGCAAAGAAAAATTATTATTACAAGTCTAAAAATAAGAAAAAAATTAACTTTTCTTTCCACTGAGTCAGAATAATAAAGTTTTAGTTAAAGATTTGCTCGTTTCAGATAAAGCAAAAACAACCCTTGCTGTTAAAGTGTTACTTTATCTACTCAAAAAACTATAAAGAAATAGTTTAACATCTGCTATAGAAAAAAAAAAAGGATTTCCTTTGGGGGTAAAATCAAAGGTAAAAATTTGTTTCCTTTTAACTGGCTATTGTAAAATGTATTATTAAGTTCAGAATTATGATTGTAAAAGAAATAAATAACTTGATAGAAATTGGCAAAATTCACAGTTTATTTAAAAGTTCTGGCATTTAAAAGTAGTTCTACAATCTTGATTTTTGAAAGCTGTAGAAGTCAAGTCAAACTAAAAATGTTTTTCCTTTGCAGTTTTAGCGTAAAATCAAAGGTACAATTTTTTCCCTCTTGTAAACTCAATTCGGGAACATAGTGTATACTTAAATAAATTTATGTATTTGTAATTTGATAATTTGATCAAGCTTGTTTATTATAATCACAATTTAATGTATACGTTATAATCTAGGCTCATTGAAGTAATTTTCACAAAAAGATAGTTTTCTGGTCCGGATCAAGTTCCTCAATAAGGGGTTTTCGACATATTACCTGGTCTCCAACTAGTTAGTCTGAAACACTATTGCGACAAATCGCAGCCCGAATATAAAGTTAGACTGGTGAATAGTTTTTTCCCCGGGTGTACCTTTACATACATCTTGACAAGCCGTGACTAATATGTGTATTAATTACGTTGCTAATAGCAACTGTCGTATTAGTCACGGGCTAAAGTTAGCTTTCTGTCATTTAATTTTATTTTTAATTTAAGTAAATTTTTATGTGGTGGTCGTAGAAAAAGTATAGTATGTAACACGTGTATAAACTTCTCTAGACATTTGTTTTATTATACACTCGCTCCGCTGTAGTTCGCTCGTGCCTAATAAGACTCAGGTTAATGTAGCGTTTATAGCACTAGTTACATAATCCGAATAGATTATTAGTACTAAATGACTTTTTGACGTTCCTATTAATAAAAACCAATTACATATCTTGGAAAAAGTGAAAAATCATAGTTGGCCGATGATTTTGAAACTTGATATACGGGCTTTGATGTTGATTCTAAACAATGGTTCTTAATAACTTTTTGTCACAAAAGGCACTTTGCAGAAAAGTAGGTTTTTAAAAATCTCCAAGGCATACTTTATTTTTCAAAATAGAAATTATTCTTTAACCATAACTAAGCAGGACTAAACCTCAAAAAATGAAATTTTAAACAGAGAATTTTTATGTTTTACAACAGTCGTTTCACCTATCGGGGGACATACTGTATATTTAACTTTAAATGTAAACAGTTGTAAACGAAGTAACGAACGTTCAATTCTGGCTGATGGTTCTAAGCGAATTGAATACTTATATCACTTTTAATGGTTGGTTATCGGTTTGAGTAACAAATTTTGTGCCATTTAAATAAAAATAAAAATGTTTACATGCCCAGAATATAGTAAACGTTTCACGTTTTGTTTGACTATACCGACGTTCAACAGCTGTTAGAGCTGTTCTAACAGTCGACTTGAATAAGCAACTGTTTTGTAGGAACAATCCTCTTGTTTCTGTTTCATTTTTTATGTCTATTTAATGATACTGATGATCTTGTATACACTGTGTCAATTTTAAACTTGCAATCGGCAATTTCTCTCAACTGAAAAAGTTATTAATAATCAGTCAAAACCGTTTTGGTGGTTCCTAGGGGGAATTAAAATGACATGATAAGTGACACACCTCCACCCACCCTTGAATATAGTAAAAAAAATGGAAATTTAACGTCTTCGTTTTTGAATAATTGGAAAAATAACTTTACCAAATAGGCTGTTGTATGACATTTTTGAAAAGCGCTTGTTATGGGCTTTCCAACGATGTATCGCAAGTAGGGTCGTGCCATTTAAAATTTTCAACTTAAGGTGGCTGTGGCTTGATGGGTGGGTGGAGGAGTGTCACTTACCATGCCATTTTGATTCCCCCTAAAAACTTCCGAAACGGTTTTGAGTGATTCTCAATAACTTTTTTAGTTCTAGAGATATTGACGATTGCAATTTTTAAAATTTACACCCTGTATGTTTTTTTTACAATTATTTAGTAAAGGTACAAAAATTTTGCCAATAAAACCACAAATAACATTGAACAGAGTTACAATTTAGGATACAGCTTCCCTGTTTCCTCTTTTAATAGCCTATAGCAAAAAAACTGGGAAAATTATTTTTCCAACTGAAATAAATAGTCAAAATGCAAAATGTGAACCCTCATAACTTCAAAATTTTTATAGATAACATTTTTTCATGTTCCTAGTATCTTGCCTTATATGGCATTTTTCTCTGGGGCGCGAGTTCTGGCGCACCTGTATAATAATCATATTAAAAAATAAAAATTAAATAGCAAAAAAAAATTATCAAAATTGACTACCTACTAAGCTCAACCCCAAAATAATTAAAAAAAAAAGATATACTAGAAAAAAATATATCATAATTAACATTAACATTAGGTAAGCCAATTACTGTTAACTATCTGAAAACAAGAAATCTTTGTAGAGTGTACGAAATTTATACACCGAAACATTCAACTGAAAAAGAGCATTAGAATTAAAAACTTTGACACCATTATAAACTAAAGAACGTTGAAAGATGGAAGTACTAAAGTGAGGCATAGAAATTTTAGTATCATGACGAATGCATGCTTTCTCTAAATCTGAATTTTTTTCTAAGGTAGGATGGAGACGCAGTTGTCATAAGTTTAAACATAAATACACCCAATTGGTGACGATACATATTTTCAATTTTTAACCAACGTAGTTCGAGTATTTTTGGCGAGACATGATTGTGTTTTTTTAGGCCATAGATGAACCTACATCTGCTATTTTGGATTTTTTGTAATTTGTATTTTGTGATATTGTCTAAACAGATTAAGATTAAGCAGTATTTCATAAATGATATAACTAAGCTTTCTGTCAATTTTTTACGTAATTTAAAATTTAGAATTAAATAGTTTGCGTATAATAATTTGAGGGAAGTATAAGATTTTTTTAGGACCATATTAACCTGAGACTTAAAACGAAAATCATCATCTATTATGAGTCCTAAGTGTTTAATTGAATCAGACAAAAGAATTTTTTTATTGTTAATAACAATATTTAATTGATTTTTAATTACATCCCTAGAATTGTTGCTAGCGAACCATATAACTGTACATTTATCGGAATTAAGTTGTAAGTTCATTTGCATAGATAATTTGGAAATTAGATCTAAGTCGGCACTAATTTCTATCCATTTCTGAAAAAGTTGTTGGGAGAAGTGTAAATAAAGATTAAAGTCGTCAGCATAAGCATGTTTCTTTGAGTTTATTATTGTTTTTCCAACAGAAATAAAGTCAAAGTGCAAAATTTAAATTCTCATAACTTTGACATTTTTATAGATAGAATTTTTTTAACATTTTTTCTTATCTTACTTACTTGGGCATTTTTCTTTGGGGCGCGAGTTCTGAAACACTCTGTATGTAATAGTTCAATCTATTTAGTTGGTTGTATTTTAGGATGAGTTTAACGTCAAGTTTCATTGAATCATATCCAAATATGGTTAATGAAAACGATTACGTTACACTTTTAAAGCTGTTGACTTCATTACAACATGAAAAGGAACCGACACTTGTCCACTATATTTACAAACAATTGAATGTATTAAAAAAAATTGAACGTCACATAAAAGTGGTAGGAAGCGACGATTTATGGAAGGCGACTTTACGGTAATTTTATCTTTATCTCTACCAACTTACATAACAAAACTGAATTGTTTTAGTCAAATTGGAATGAATCAAGCTAACGATGAGGTTCAAGTGCTTTTGCAGCAGCTGCTGGCAGAAAAATATATCACGAGTCATGAAATTTTATTTCAGTACTTCCAACCGTTCATAACACTAAATGTAACTAAATGTAACTTAAGAACACTAGAAAAAGCCTTTACAAGTTTCGTAAATTTGCAACATGACACGAGTTTCAAAAGTAACGCCATTTCTTGGATTTTAAATAGGGGCGCGAAACTTTTCGATGACATTTACATCGCCGAGATTCTCGTACGTTTGATTATGAAACAATGGACGAGCGATACGTATCGCCAACTTGAAGAAAAAAAGCGAATTTTCGACGATATTGAAGATATTTATTTGACAATTTCATTTGAACATCTCTTAACTTGGGAAAGAGATATTAAAAAAGAGGTTGATATTACTGTCTGTGTCGAACAAATCCTATTTGATACTCTAATCACACAACTAACAAATTTGAATTGTGGTGACACTACTGAAGAATTATTAAATGTCACTCTTTTGACATATCATGTTCTTAGTTTTTTGCACAAATTTGACATTATCGACTCTGAATCAACCTTATGGAATTTTTTTGCAAACTGTACGAAAAATCTCTTTGAGAAAGTAAGCCTAGATTTAATAACACTAAGTGAACGTGGCTTGCAGAAACTTAATGATGTTGTGAAAAAACTGAACGTTTTATTTTGTACAAATGTCAGTGATTTTTGTGTCAAACAATTGCGGGCATTCGTATCAGAAGACTTGATTAAGGCAATGTTTGTTGGATTGCATACAGAATCTGACGGTAAAAACTACAAAATTGTCGACTAAAAATAAAATAATATTTACAGATGTATCACATGAGGACCCTTTTCTCACATTCCGGAAAAGTTTAATCGAGACTTTAGTCAGTTTTTCGTGTCTTCCGAGTTGTGGTGATTTGCTTCCGATCCAGCAAAGGGCACTTTCGGCTCTTATCGATTACGAGTACGATTGCTCTTACGATTCCGACTACCACCTCGTCTTAGCCCTTTTACACTCAATACAGTCTTGCCAACCTAAATCCTTGGATGAAAAAACTTTACTTTCAATTTTTAACATCTTCCAGAAATTCTGCGAAATACACTATCATTGTTATTTCAGTGCTGTCGAGATTTTAGGTTTGTTCTACAGTAAGTCAGTGTTTTGAGCGCGAGGCGATATCTAAGTAATTTAAAATTTTGCAGAAATATATCCATTTGTAGCCTCGTCCGATTCTGATTTTTGTAAGAGTCAATATGTTGAAGTGTTGTTTCCGTTTTTTCTTAAAAGGGCCGATTACGGCCCCGATGTGTCCAATGAATTGTTACAGTGTATGGGTTTGTTGTTTGAGGTAAGTGACAGGTATGCCAAACGTCAAATTAGATGACACTTTTAGCTCGAACCGAACTGTCAGTTTTCGCGCTGGTCTAACGAGGAAATAGTTTTGAAAATACCAGAGTTTTTGCAAAACGACTTCCAGGAAGTTAGATTTAATGCAATTAGAAATTTGGCAAGGTTTTTTAAGTTGGCGTCGGAAACGGGTCGTTTAGAGCAGTTTCATCGTCAGGAAATCATGTTTTCTGTCGTTTCAGATATGGTTGGTAGCACTGATTTTTGTAAAGCGTTTCTTAAATCGTCTTATTCTAGAGTTTGAAACTTTTTGAAATTGAAGGTAACGTCACACAGGAACGAGTCATCGACGAAACTGTCACTCGATCGACGACCGTTTTACATTTGTATGCCTCTATAATGCTCGCATCACATTTGTGGATCGAAGAAGCACTATTTGCATTGCTCAAAATATTCTGTGATAAAAAGTTAGGTAAGATGACACGAATAACGGTATTACACGCTTGTGATTTATTTCATTTTGTAGATTTAAGTCAAGTTGGACGTGTTATTGAAATGGTTGCCCATAAATTAGGTTTCAATTCGGGTTTAAACTTTTTAGAGAGGTATTTAGTCGGATTGGTTAATTCGTGGAAAAATTTCGACATGAATAGATTCCCGTATGGATTGTACAATTGTGATTCTAAGATAGAGTTTTACACGAAATATTGGACTTTTCTTGCTCCTCTTATTATTGAAGAAGACATAAACGACTTGAATCAAGTCGCCTTGAATTTAGGAAAAACCCCCCAAAAACTAATTGAAGTAAATTAAAACAATTTAAATGAATCGGACTAATGTCATAATTTTAGGACACTTGTCCACGGTTATTGAGTTATTGTTTGAGTCAAGAAGTTTCAAATTTAACTCGAATTACTGCAAACAACATTTATATTCATTTGAGTAACACTGTTGGAGTATCAAAATGCCGTGAAATTTTTAAAAGTAACATCGAAGAAGTGATTTTAAATCTCGCAGAGTTTATCTGTGACGAAAAACAGTTCCAAACGTTCTTTTCACGAAATATTATTTTCCCCAAAAACAATTCGACTCGTTTGACGGTCGATGATTTTTACAATTGTCTTCATTTTATTGAGGTAAGTTGGTTGTGCGATTTGATAGGTGTCAATTTTCAGTTTTGTAGAATACACTGTATGATGAAAATTCCGTCATAGCCGACTTGATGTCTCACAGTCCGGCAAAAATTCACTTTATTTTGTTACAAATTAACTTGAGGATTAGCGCGGAGCTTACATTGGAGGAAAAATTACGTTACTTTCAGATTTATTCTATTCTTGTCACTTTATGCGTGGAAGCGGTAATGGGGGAACCCTCAATGCAGCTTTACTTGATTCGCGACTTGACCCACACTCTCTTACATCACATAAAAAACTACAAAATTTACTCACAATTGAGCGAAATTAGTTGCAAGTTTTTCAAAATGGTGTTGAAAAAAATCCTACCGGATTTGGCAACTATGATTAAGGATTTATTCCCTGTAATTGTTAGTCGGCTCAGAAACATCGCACTCGAGGATTGCCAAATCAGCAGTTTGTGTGTTGGCATGCTTGAATTCCTGATAGTCGATCATAAAGATTTGTTTTATGACGAAATTCAAAAACTGGATTCTATTCCCGAGATATCGAAATTCGCGAAAATTTTTTCAGTTCATTACGAAATCAAATATGGAAACCGAAAAGTCACACTCAACGATGAGATTTTGCAGTTTTTGACTTTTGCTGAAAATATAGAAAGTGTCGACGAGTGCCAACATAGTTTGACACATCTCCGAAAGTTACTAACGGACAGAAAAGACCAATTGAAACAATTGTACGTTGACTTGCATCAAACTCGGGGATTTTCCGAAGATTGTGAGAATAGTATTTTGCATAAGTTAATTTGTATGCTAATTACGTTCAGTTGTTCGACCAATCGGGACGTTCGAAATGAGGCCGTGAGGTGTTTGGGCGAAATTGGTCCCGCTGATTTGGGAACTTTGATTTTAAAACCCGAGAAAGCAATTCCCGATTCGAAATTGACACCGTGGGAGTTGTTACTCAGATTTTCTCTATCTTTACTTTCGAAATTTATCATAGATTCGGACGCAACTGTGATAAAAGTCGCCTCGATAGCACTCTTTCAAATATTGTCAACGAAAGAAGGCCGAAAAGTACAAACTGATACCAATTGTCATTACTTGACGCCATTTTATTCGATGAAGGTCAGTCAAAGCTCTTTCAATGATTGTATAGATGTTGACACTTTTTTGAAAGTTATAAACGACGATGATTTGTGGATTCCTGTCCAGTGTACTCACAGTACATGGATAACTAGATTAGTAACTGGCTTTTTGCGTACTTTTCAAGAACGGTCATTGTGTAATACTTTTATTGACGTATGTAAAGTCAAGACTGAGTTTTCCGAACAATTTTTACCATTACTAGTCTATCATATTCTTTACTCGAACATAAATACTTGTACCAACTTAATAACGTCAAAAATCTCACTCTTTTTTAATAAACATTGGAACATTACTGTCAAACATGAAAATTGTGACAGTATTACTGTCAACAAAGCATCAGTCCAAACAATGTTGGATGTAGTTCATTTTGTTCGACTTCAACAAAACGTCCGAAAAAAGTAACTAAAAATTTAATTACAATACCAAAATCACTAACTATCATTCGTAGGCAAATTATTTTGAATTTGGATTATCTAAAAATGGCCAAAGCGGCCCACTTTTGTACCGCCCACTTTACCGCTCTTCTTTATGCCGATTTGTGGTGCCAAGCGCAGATTGACCAATCACCGATCGACTACGCTCTTTCCTCTTCAACTTACACCAGTCTTGATCTCATTTACGAAAAGGTAGACCGAACCACTGGTCAGGCCCTTCAACACATCCTCCGAGAGGTATCACATCATTAACACCCCGCCCCTTGTTTATCATTGGTTTCCAGGCGTACAAAGCAGTGGGCGAACGTGACGCTCTCCTCGGCTGTGGCTCCTCCCACTTGCTAGATGCCACGACGCGGGTGGAGCACTACAAGGAGTTGGGGAGGTGGGACCAAGTGACACACTATTACGAGATGGAGGTGTCAACGACGGGCGGGGCCGGTATTCGTCCATTGGTTGATAGTTTAATTAGAGGGAAAATGTATCAGTTGAGTTTGTTTTGTTCAGACGCTTACGGGGAACCAAATTATGAGAGTTTGTGGAGGTTGGGAAAGTGGGAATGTAACAAAAGGGAGAATTCCGAGGAGGTTTATTATGATAAATGCAAGTTTTACGCGATTAAAGCGTTGAGGGAGGAGGACGATTTTGGATTTCTTGCGGCGTTGGAAGGGGGCTGGGAATGTGTTGTAGGGGAGTTTATGGGGGCTAATATGGAAAGTATCAAACATTTTTATGATGCTTTTGGAAGGTTGCAAGCACTGAAAGAACTTGAAGACTTTGCGAAGGCTTTGAGTGAGAATAAGTTGGCAGAACTACTTGTCAAGTGGAAATTGCAAGATGAAATTATTTCTAATGAATATGGTTACATCGAGCCGATTCAAGCCCAAAGAATCGTTCTCTTAAGAGACTTGTTGACGAAAAACCTAACTTTGAATGAAGTTATGATGGACATGATTATACGTTACGCACGTAAGTTACATCTTTTGGGAATTTTGAATCGTATTTAGGGATTTTTGTAGAGTTTGCACGAATTGAGGGTAATTCGTTTGAGGCGTCTCGTATTTTAAAACAACTGAAGTCTCTTAAGCTTTCAAATGATGTTGAAGCGAGAATTCAGTTTGAGGAAGCTCAACTGTGTTGGAGTATAAAAGATAACGTCACTGCAAAATGCATTCTGAAACAGTTTTGCACCAATGAGAACATTGATCCGAGGTTAGTATTGCACAATATTTAAACATCTTTAGGGATTTTGGGTTTGTTTAGATTACACGCAATGGCTTTGAAAATGACAGGCGAATGGATGGCAGAAAGTTCATCTGAAAATTACCAAACAATTATTCAAAATTATTTTCAAAAATCGCTAAATCTACTCAAAACAACTATGGAGAAGTCTGTCGAGGACCAGAAATCAATCCTTGATACATTCCACCAATTGGCGAAATTTGCCGATCAAGGATATCAAGATGTAATGTCTCACATCAAGTCGGACATTTTTCAGAAAAAGAAAGAAAACATGAATAAAGCGAAAGAGACCGTCAGTAAAATCAATCTGAAGAAAGCGACAAAAGACGAACGCAAAGCTGTCGTAATTAAAGAAAAACATTGTTGCATCGACGAGAATGAAATCAGGAGTATAGAGGCCGAAAAAAACGTTTTGCTCCAACTCGCACTTCGATATTATTTACTGAATTTGATAGGAAGTGACGAACATAACATAACAATTTTTCGCCTTATCTCACTCTTACTCGAAAATCGGTCTAATGATCTGATTCGAACCTTTTTAGAAAAAGACGTATTGAATATTCCTACCTATAAATATATATCAATCTTGCCACAGATTGTACCGCATATTGCAGGCGCCACTTGTGATATATTCGGCCAAACTGTTAATAATATAATCGAGAAGTGTGCTAAAGACCATCCATATCACACGCTCCCCTCAATCCTCGCTCTCACTTTGTCTAACAAAGACCGCGACTATGCCGAATCGAAAACCGCTGTGAACGACGGTAGGGATAAAAACTCCAGAACCATTCTTGACCGTTTGAAGAAAACAGATCGAAATTTATCGAATTTGATTGAACGAATGGAATTTGTATCCGAGGCGGTGATTGAATTGGCGTATCACAAAAACGATTCCGATGATGGTAGTTACAAAGTGCCAAAACGTTGCAAGATTTGTAAAATACAAAACTACGACAATGTTCTTGTGCCGACTTACAATCTCGCAGTTTCTAAATCCTGTACGTATCAAATCGTTGGGATTTCGCGATTTGGTAATTCCTATCAGAATGTGGGAGGGATTAACGCCCCCAAGAAGATTATATGTAGAGGAACAGATGGGAAAAATCGAACCCAACTAATTAAAGGTAGAGATGACTTACGGCAAGATGCCGTTATGCAACAGGTATTTACCATAATGAACAGTCTTCTCAATGTCAACAAACAAACTCGAAATTTGTTAATCCGGACCTATAAAATTGTGCCTTTGTCTAAGAGGAGTGGCATCCTTGAGTGGGTGGACAATACAATGCCCTTTGGTGTATATCTAACAGGTGAAGATGGAGATGGTGGTGCACACGTTAAATATCGGCCAATGGATCGCAGGCCTCGTAAATGTCGTGCGGATTTTAAAGTAAGCCACAACCTTTATCCTAGTCAAATTAGACAAAAATAGGGCGATCGGTGGAAAAAAATCCTATAGTTGGATTTTTTTTCTTGGGTAGACATATACTCGTATCAAAAGTCCCTGAAGGCTGGGGGGCGAGCTCGAGGAGGGGGGAGGGGGCTAAAGGTGTCTTTTTTTTGTTTTATTGCTTATATCTCGGAAACTATTACTCCTAACGGTTTTTGCCTGCTTATCAAAATTAAAACCTACAAAAATGGTTCTTTGCATTTTTGTTGTAGGACTTACTATAAGCGAGTTATAGGGCTGACAAAAAACATCATTTAAAAAAATGTGCTTTATCCGCATTTAAAACAGAATTAATCTTGTGATTTGAAAAAACTAAAATCAAATTGAATTTATTGGGTGCAACACTTACTTCATTAGAGAGTCTATAAAGTCTTCCGAGTCGGCGTCATATGCTGCATCTTCGTCTTCAACTTAAACATTGAAAACCGATTTACAGTCTTGTTCAGTACAATATTAATAAATAGAGGATTTAATATCAATGATTTAAATAAAGCTTACAATAAATTGAATGTATTGGATCCAACAGTTTATTAGAAGGTGCCACGAGGGTCTATCAAGTCTTCCGAGTCATCCTTATATGCTGAAGTAGCCTGTGACTTTGTCCGCGTGTATTTCTGATATAAAATGGGAAAAAGCCCGTTCACAAAACCATTCCATAGGCTTAGGTACTCTATAAAGCTAGATAATTACCTATGTTATGTATAGGATTCAGTTATAGTAGTCTCGTTCTTCGCATGGGCTATGTTTATGGATAAGTATTAAATGTTGATTTTTATAAAGTGTCGTCACAGTGCATTTCTGCACTCTCAAAATTCGAAATTTCATGTTTCTAATTTTGTTTTTAAGCATTTAAACTCTATTTTATTTCATTAAAATTTGAAAAGTGCACTTCTACACTCTCTAAGGATCATATTTTCTAAATTTTATGTTTTTATATCCCTCTAAATGTGTACACCGTTTTATTCTCTTAAAAACTAATTTTCGAAAAATCTGATTTTAGTGCTCCTTTACATCTCTAAAGAATATTATGTTTATATTTTTGTTTAAACATTTACACCCCATTTAACCCCCTTACAGATTGATTCTCTCTTTCATCCAAAATTTTTATTTATATCTCCGTTTAAATGTTTACACCCGAGTCACCTTTCAGGCAGACCAGCTTAGTGGGGAAACGCTCTACACGTATAAATACTAATGAAATGTGTTTCAAAGGATTTTTAATGCAATTTTATGTAGACTCCAAACTTTTGAAGTCTACGGTTAGTCCTACGACAAAAATGAATAGGACCATTTTTGTAGGTAATTTTGATGCAGAAATAAATAGACTTCTACAGAAAATTCTGCATAAATTACATAAACGATGAGTTTGTATTTATTGACCCTCGTGATTCCCCCTTCTTTTAATGAAGTATTGGACCCAGTAAATTCAATTTACTGTCAGTTTTTTCCAATCACAATATTAATTCTGTTTTAAATGCGGATAAAGCACGTTTTTTTAAATGATGTTTTTTGTCAGCCCTATAACTCGCTTACGGTTAGTCCTACAACAAACATGCAAAGGACCATTTTTGAAGGAAATTTTGTAGGCTTAAAATTTTGATAAGATAAAAACCTATAGGAGTGATAATTTCCGAGATATAAGCAAAAAAACAAAAAAAGACTCCTTTACCCCCCTCCCCCTCCTCGACCTCGCCCCCCACCTTCGGGGACTTTTGATATATGTCTACCCAAGAAAAAAGAAAGCGTTTAAAAAAAATCCAACTCTATAGGATTTTTTTCTACCGAGTTGTCTAATTTGACTGGGCTACTTAGCCACATCCACCAATCAATAATTTATTTACAGAATGCCGCAAATTCGTCGAACGAGGAACGTCTCCGCAACTTTAACAAAATCTGTCAAAACATCAAACCAGTTTTTCATAAATTTTTTGAATCGGCTTTTCCACAGCCTACTGTATGGTACGAGCGTCGCCGGGCGTACATTAACAGTGTTGCCACGTCAAGTATGTGTGGCTACATCTTGGGTATAGGCGACCGTCACGTCAGTAACATTCTAATTGATAAAAGTACTGCTGAAGTTGTCCATATTGATTTTGGTAAGTTGTTTGTAGTTTAGTTGTTGTCTCTTGTTATTTCAGTTTTTAGGTATCGCGTTTGAGCAAGGTCGGGTACTTCCAACGCCTGAAACCGTTCCATTTCGGTTAAGTCGGGATATGGTGGATGGAATGGGTGTGTCTGGAGTGGAAGGAGTATTTCGTAGGGCATGTGAAAAAACAGTTGAAGTTTTGAGACAGAATTATCAGACCATTATAACCATTTTGGAAGTTTTATTGTATGATCCGTTATATGATTGGACGGTGAGTACTGCCGAGGCGAATAAAAGACAAAAAGTTGATTTGGATGACACTTTTTTCAATATGTCATTTGAGCCAGATGAAATTAACAAAGGTTAGAACCAATGGTATTTTGGGTAAATTTTCATTTATCGGCTTGTAGATGTTAATGTGACCGCAGAACGGGCCTTGTTGAGATTAAAGGATAAGTTACAAGGGCTGGAGAAAGGCAAATTAATGACAGTTGAGCATCAAGTGGAAACACTGATCCAGCAAGCTATGGATCCGGCGAATTTGTCGAAATTGTTTCACGGTTGGCAACCCTATCTCTAAGTCTAAAACGTATTTGTTATCTATTTTTGTACTGTTTATAATAAATTTTTGCATTTTATTGTAATTATTTCAGTTTTGCGTCCTGAGTTTAAATTACGAAGGACTAAAATAATAGCAAAAACATATTTTTTTATGTAAATGCATGAAGATATAAGAGTAACATTATTTCCTCCCAACAGGGAATAAAGTGGCGCTTTATTCCTGGATATTATTCGTGGATAATAATGGTACCTACTTTACTTTAGTGGTAACTACTTTATTTCTTCGGGAATAATAGGATACTCTTTTTTCATATTATTGTACATCAAGTAGGTTGTAGAAGTCTAAATTATATTTATATATTTAATTATTAATAATATTAATATTTAATTTATAGGTCGATTTACACAAAAAGTGTCATTAATTTCCTTCAGAACAAATTTAATCACATCAATAATAACTAAAATCCTTATGTGAGTAACAGATTCGCAGAAGCGAAAGGAGGTACTTAACACGCCGCACCTCAAACGTCACATTTCTAGACTCAGTTTTTATAAGATATTACCAAGGGCCCCTGCACAAGAATAATTAGCAACGGCTGGAAGCAGTGCGCACATGGTGATCAATCAGTTTGATGCGTAGACGTTCACGCCTTCGCCATTCTTGCTCTGCTGTGCTCCTGATACCACGATTTTGTTTTTGAACGCTTTGCGGTATTCCCATTTTGCTTGAAAATATTTTGTCTAATTTGAGTTTTGCGTGCGTACTTTTTTGTTAATGAACATTTCTTAATTTAATCCTTTTATTAAGAGTTTTTATTTAAAATTTTTCGTCAATATTTGATTTTATGTTTGAACATTTTAAGAAAATAGTTATTTATTCGACGAGTTTGAGTGTAAATCGAACGCTTTATTTCACGAGAGGATTATTAAACCACTCGTTAACACTCGTGGTTTATCATCCACGAGGTAGACTAAATGAACCGTTTTACACGAAGACGAGTTGAATACAACATTTTATTCTTCGAATTAAACTCAACAAGACTTAAAATTGCTTTAAATCTGTTATCTGACGTTTCGAATTAAGAAATGCCAAACTTATCTCCCTTATTACACGGGAGATAAACCGCAAATTTTGTCAATGTCAAAGAATATATAATAGTTATTTATTATACAAGATGATAAAGAAATTGTTTAATAAACAATCAATCAACAATAGATAAACAATCTTTATCGTCGTTTCTAATATTTCATTTTATTTTGTACTCATCTACCAGAATTTCTTGAATATAAACAGTAGGTAAAAATTACTTTATTTTACTAGACGATAAAAGACTACTTTATCTACTGAAATTAGTTGATAAAAGATAAACAGATAAAAATTACTATATTTCACTAGACAATAAAAGACTACTTTATCCACTGAAATTAGTAGATAAAAGCACTCTTTAACATTAAGTACAAAATAAATTTATTTACAAACTTTTTGCGATCACACGAGCTCCCCATCTCTGGAATAATGGTTAGTCTTCCAAATGAAAATTTCCTCGGCTCCCTTCAGTTGTCTCTGACATTATCTACATTCTCGGGGTTAAAGTAGATGTTTATTTCCTCGATACATAAATAACTATACAGGGTGCGCCAGAACTCGCGCCCCAGAGAAAATTTTCAAGTAAGGTAAGATACCAGGAACATGAAAAAAATGTTTAAAAAATTCTATCTGTCAAAAAATTTTGACATTTATTTTTTGACATTTGACATTTTTTCATATGTATTTAATGATACTGATGATCTTGTATATGTTTTTTTACAATTATTTAGTAAAAGGACAAAAATTTTGCCAATAAAAGCCACAAATAACATTGAACAGAGTTACAATTTAGGATACAGCTTCCTTGTTTCCTCTTTTAATAGCCTATAGCAAAAAAAATTGTAAAATTATTTTTCCAACAGAAATAAATAGAGTCTAAGTACAAACTTTAAACCCTCATAACTTCGAAATTTTTATAGATAAAATTTTTTTAACATTTTTTCCATGTTCCTGGTATCTTACCTTATATGGCATTTTTCTCTGGGGCGCGAGTTCTGGCGCACCCTGTATTGAAAGGGAATAAAACAATGAAAATTCTCACAAGAACTATTAGTATAATTACCTATGGGTAGGTACCTATTTTATTTGACTTGAATAAAATAATAAACATAATATGGAAAACTTTTATTTATATTTTTTACAATAAGCACAATCACACTTTCTTTTGTTTGCATGCTTTTTTAAATGTGCCACTATCCTGTACTCCGATTCCCTCGGATCCATATTTCGCGGAATTCTTGAATCTATTAATTCGGGCAGAATATTGTCCATATAAAAATTTTTAAGTTTGGGCAACATGTCTTCCCAAAAATCGGTATCCTTCACTGTTCTTTTCACAACGAAATTGACGTTTGTAAAAAGTATGAAGTATGTTCAATTGTCCTTGGACCTGGTAAAAATAGTTGTGGCTAGTTTTTATTCTGGAAACAAAAATAAAAATCAATAAGCATAGCTTGTAATAGAGTAAATACTCACTCAATATTCTCATCAACTAGTTTATAACACAGTTTGCCTGTGTTAATTTAGGGACCATCTAGGGTTTTCTCTTTTATGGAATAGAGACACTTTACCTCGATGATGCTCTCTTCCCCCAGTAACCCATCAGGACTGGCTCCCAAATATGAATAATTTTGGTTAATAAAAAGACCACATTTTTGTACGGTCGTTTTGTATTTTTCTTCAAATTTTTTATAGCTACGGCTTCGTGTAACCTACCGTAACTAATTGCAGGTGTATTTACTTCTTTACTTACGCTTTTACGGCGTTTTTACCCAATGTGGAATCAGTCATTTTACAAATTCTTCCAAAATTTGATGCCGTAATCCGATCTTTTCGCATCTCATGCCATAAAGGGTTGGTATGTTGCCCAGTTGAATCATGGTGAATTTTGTCCAATTCGGTAGCACTCATTTTTTGCAGAAAAGCTGCACGTCTTTTAGCAAATTCTTCGTCGGTTATATCAGGTTGAGCAGCTTGTGGACCATATTCACAATCTGTGGGGGCACCTCTTTTTCTGTTTTTAATTTTAACACCGCCAGCTTTGTAGTATTTAGCAACCCTATGTTTTTTGCGTTTGGCTAAAACACTTTTTAAAACATAGCCCGACGAGTTGTTGCTAAGTTTTTTCCCAGGAGCCAAGACGAACCAGTCGTATGAGCAAGAGCGGCTGCATAGGCTCTGGTGGCGTAGGAATACCTTTACTATAATTACTGAATCATTTTATTTTATTAAATGTCAAAGGGAGAATAAAGTTTAATATATATATTACACGCTCTTTCAGGTGTTCGGAGTTTTTAAATAACCTCGCACCTAAAAGTGAGCTTTTTTAGTTTGTAATGTAAATAATTATTGGACTCCAAACGAATTAATTAAGTATGAATTTTCAGTTTACATTTTAAATGAAGAAAACGCCATGTTCTTTTGGCTTCCCTGGGTTGTGTAGGACGGTGCGACCAGAATGTGATAAAAATTACAATAGAAATGGGCTAAGCCAAATATTGGGTGTGAACATTAAGCATAGTGAAACTAAATTCGTCTTCAACTTAACCTTAAGCTTACACTCAAATTTAAAAAAATTGATGATATTGTTGTTGAAAATTGAGAAAATTGATTGAGAGAAAACACATTTTTTTTTATGAGATAAGTCTTGCATTGCGGTGTGAAAAATGCAAAAATTTAAACAGTGATTTTGCAATAAATAAATTAGAAAAACAAAAAAAAAACGCTCAATCATAACAACAGAATTACGGTTCTGATAGCTTTTTAAAAATAATTTATAAATTTTCTACAGATGGTTACTCAGGTTTGATGTTCAAAATCATTTTACACCGTTACAAATAAATATAGAATTTTTAAGCTATTTTTCTGTATTATCAAAAAAAAAATTAAAAATAGTTTTGGTGTTCTATACCCTTAAGAGCGCGGAATCAAAGCAATGTTGAATGTCCAGAAATTGCGTGCACTAACTTCAAGGGGTAATTCCATACTTCAAAATATGAAAAGTTCCTATCTACATGGGTCCAAAAAAACATCCCCAGAAAGTTACGGCCCTGTAAAGTTGGGCCTTCAAATATGCTTTATTTTTAATTATTTTTGTTAATCTAACCAAATAAGAGAATCCAAATAATTAATCTCACCAAATAAGAGAATTCAAATCATTCATAAATACGGTTAGTTTGGATTAGCCAAATCACAGTTGACCCGTGGCACAGAACCGTAGTCAACGCGACGCCGATTTTATTTTCATTTATAGATGCTCAGAACACCTACAAAATAGAACGCCTACTTAATGGTTTTAAAAAGTTTCTTCGTGGCGTCATCATACGTCCGGCCCGTGAACTAGAAAAGGCGGCAATTTTGAAAGTATGTTTTGTTTTTAAAATACATTCCCTGTATGTATTTATTTATACCTTCCACTGGAGTCACTCTTTTGCGTGGACTATAAAACCACATTTTCGATAATTCTACATCTTCTTTTTGTGTTGTGGAAAAAGTCAGATCAATGGTGGTAATGGTGAAAAATAAATTTTCATCTGATCTGAAGAATGTTATGGGTTGAGAAAATTAAGAATTAAAACCTAAGTTTTAAAATCTTACCCACTTTTGGTACCGACACCGACGACGCATGTTTCCGCAACTCCTCACTGTTATATTCTTACGTGTATCTTTCTTTAATAAGCAAAAAGTTAGAAAGTGATGTTATTATTTAACTGAACTTACCTTGACAAATATTAACAGAACGCAATGAGTTGGGGAACAGACTTTTGAACACACTGGAGCTCTTAATTTAGTCTGGCAAAAAGTGGTTCCTTTTTCGAACGCGGAAACCGAAAGAGAGGCCCAGATTTAAATGGGAAGCCCACCACAGCAAAACAAGTTAGTTTGTGGAAACTCATTCTAAACAATTAGCAATTCTTATCGTAGATTAGTACAAAAATCAATTTTACCTCAAATTCCAGGAATTTATTTTACAAACAAGACTCAATTTTGTGTTTTTTCATTGATTGGGTTGACTGTTCAAATTTTGAAACCATGACCAACTTGTTTCAAATTTCAATCCCGCACACTTCACGCCGATAATTTAGAACTCTTTCTTTTATTATAAATCTAACAAAAAAAGCTGGAACCTAAATTTGTTGTTTATGTTGTGTGTCTACACCTATCGTCTACCTTTGAATGAAAATTTAAAATAAAAATAACATTCGCAAAAAATAAATAAATTTTATTATGAGAATGCTAATTGCGACCTCTGACGGCCGGACCAGAACTAAAATTTATCGAAAACGGTCTGGGCTATATTAGTCGGCTACCCCTGTATAAGGCACTAGATGCTGTCATAAACAGAGGTACTGCCATCCATATACATGGTGATTCTTTTAGGGCCTACATTAGAAACTTTTTAACTTAGAATGCAGATAGGAATTTGAAATTTTGTACACAACCCAAATCAACCGCTCTGAGTTCAACTAAATTGTTTTCAAAATGGTTGAACTTCCGGAACTATGAGAAATTGGCGCCAACTTTGAAATTTTAAATGGTAACCACTTATTTTTARTGCATTTTTAAATTCTCCTGTCRAAACTGAGTAAAATGTCTCTAGTTGTTAGTACTTATCTGTCATAGTTTTTGACCTATGTCAATTTTTTGGTCAAAATTTTCACTTGCAGGGGTTTATTCAAAACATCACAGCTCTTGAACCCTTTGCGATAAGTGAATATTTTTTTTGTTTTCGATAACCAAAGGTTCGAAAAGTTTCCTAGAATTTTCAAAATTGTCGACTGTCAAATTGCAAGGCTAGTATGATTTTTTGAAAATGATCATTAACAAACAGCTATAACTCAGTTTTTTCAAATGAAATGACTCTATTTTCTCAACGGCAATCAAAAGTATATCAATTTCTAGAAGGACTTTTATTAACATGTCCTATACCTATCTCTTACAGTTTTTGAAATAATCACAAAAAACATGTTAATGTTTTTATTTTTATAGTTAATCACGTAGGCTTTGGAAAAATACAATAAAGATATACCATAATTAATACAGATGTTCGATATCATTTTCAAACAGTACAAAACTCGATGGTGAACTGAATTGAGTGGCTTCCATTATTTTATTTGGTTGAAGATTATTAAATGCCGCCTCAATCCTTGCCTCAATTCTCCGTAATTCCGGATGGGTGTTGTGTAGACTAATAAATACGTATTGATCATTTTCCAAAGCCTACGTTAATTACTATAAAAATAAAAAAAAAAACAACACGTTTTTCGTGTTTATTTCAGAAACTGTAAGAGATGGATATAGGACATGTTGATAAAAATCCTTCTACAAATTCACGTATTTTCGATTGCCGTTGAGAAAATGGGGTCATTTTATTTGAAAAAACTGAGTTATTGCTGTTTGTTAAATATCATTTTCAAAAAATCATATAAGCTTTGCAATTTTACAGTTGTCAATTTTGAAAATTTTAGGAAACTCTTCGAACCTTTGGTTATTGAATGCAAAAAAAATTATTCACTTATCGCAAACGGTTCAAGAGCTGTGATGTTTTTAATAAACCTCTGCAAATAAAAATTTTGAGCAAAAAATTGACATATGTCAGAAACTATGACAAATAAGTACTAACAACTAGGTATATTTTACTCAGTTTGGAGAGGAGAATTCAAAAATGCAATAAAAATAAGTGGTTACTATTTAAAATTTCAAAGTTGGCGCCAATTTCTCGTATTTCCGGAAGTTCAGCCATTTTGAAAATAATTTAATTGAACTTAGACTGGTCGATTTGAGTTGTGTACAAAATTTCAAATTTCTATCTGCATTAGAAGTTAAAAAGTTTCTAATATAGGCCATAAAAGAATCATCTTGTATATAATACTAGTATTATATATATGCTGCCATCATATGTTTTTGACACTGACAGCGGCTTTTTGACCTTGAAAAAAATCATGTCAATTTGACAAATTTATATCACAAAATTTAAAAAACTCACTAAAACTTGTATTGCGGCACTGCAAGTCAAAGATAAAACTCTTTAATTTGCCTCAATTTAGATGGCAAAATAGTTCAAACATTTCAATGCATAGAAACTCAAAACTCTTTAAGGTATTTYGCTAAAAAGATTAAAGAAGACAGATAGATTCAAAAATATAGGAGAGTATACGAATTTGCTCTGTATCTATTAGTATTACATAGTTTACCTTTTTCATTCGCAATTCCTTTTCTTCAGAAACATTTTTGCAGTATTTATAAAAAAAAAAACAGAATTATGTGTATTTACATCCTAGCGCAAAACCGTATCTTAATTCCGAAAACCATTGCCCAAAAATTCTTGAAAGTTATTTACAAACCACACGCACAGGCTTTGTGAACTGGGCCATGCACATCTTTATCTACCTACATTACCATTACTTTGCCACTTTTGCCTTTATTTGACCAACCTGTGAGACGTTTCTGAACTATTTCTTGGTTGTTTCAATGTATAAAAGTATGTAATATGAATTGTTCAACCCACGTTTTTTATTTATAAAATGTTTCCGGAGAGTTTCCGCCTAAATTGGCACTTATGACAGCATCTAGTACCTTACCTCTGTATAGATGGAAGAGTGTCCCATCTGATCTGTTAGTTAATCTGTGCTTCTGCGGTCTAGTGAATTTTGTTTTTTTGAGCTGGCAACACAGCTTTTAACATTTGACGTTGACGTTTTCGTTGCTTTGAATGTTTATAATCTATTTCCTCGAAAACCAATTATTTGGAACATAAATTATCAGTTTAACAATAATGATCCACGATTAAGATAACAACTTTTTATTTTTAATTTTATGGTAAGTAAAACTCAACACAAAAATTTTAAGGTTATGTTTAGTTTCATTATTGCGTGGCAAGATTAGCCTTTGTTGCCACACATCAGTTTTCCATCTGCTATCGTAAATGGAAAATGAGTTACTTGTCCTCGAGACATATCCCATGGGGCGTGAGATTTTTACAAAAACTGACCGACAGATGCTGTCCAAGGCTGCATTTCAACAGAGAATTATGGTACTAGCCACAGCTTCTTAGACACAAAAATTCTACTTTTATTTATTTCCAGCTACCGCGGTAGTGTTGTGTTCCTTACTTATATGGCCTACATGAGTTACCACTTGTCTCGGAAACCAATTTCAGTAGTTAAGGCTGTTTTACATCAAAACTGTAGTGGTCTAACGCCTCCACCAGATGTGATTCCTGGGAATAAATCGCATTGGTGCGATTGGGCGCCTTTTAGTAAGATGATATGAGCGACTTGAATTGAATTTCCTTCATTATTTCCTTGTTTTAGATGGATCTGATGCTAGTGCATCACAACTATTGGGAGAGTTGGATTCCTCGTTTTTATTCTGCTACGCAATTGCTATGTTTATTTCAGGATTTGTTGCCGAAAGAGTTAATTTGAGATACTTTCTAAGTCTGGGGATGTTAATGTCTGGCATATTCAGCTATTTGTTTGGTATTGCCAAAAGTTATAATATACATAATTTAAGTTATTACATAATAGTACAAGTAAGTATTTAAATAGTTGTACAATACAAAGGTTTTACATGGTCCAAATTTTGTCTGTTTTAAATTTGGCGTCAGAAACGTGAACAAACCATCGTATTGAAAGTTGATATTTAAAAATTGTGATCCGTTCACAATACACTCATTACCGCCAACTATGGCACCAAATTTAACACTTGTTACATACAAATCTAAGTACATAACATTTATAACGTTTCTCTGTATTTACCTAAAAACACAAAATATAGATTTTCTGCTGATCCAAATTTTTACAGATAAAATTGGGTCAGTACTTGCATTTAATGTCACACAAAATCAAAAAAAATCATTTTATATTTCTTAAAACTGCTTCAATACCAATTTTTGTTGTTCTGTTATTTTGTTATTAAGCAATATTTTTATTGTAATACTTGATATATCGAAACTATTTATTTTTTACATACATACAGGGTGTCTCAACGAGTTGAAAAAGTCATTAGTGATTTTTAAAAAAAAAATTACCTATAAAAATTTCGAAGTTATGAGAGTTTAAATTTTGAGCTTTGACTCTATTTATTTGTGTTGAAAAAAAATTTTTTTTTGCTACCGAGTATTAGAAGAGGAAACAAGGTTACGCTTCGCTTACCTTGGTCTGTGACGCTGTATTGGCCCTTCGGGCCATTTTATATTGTGTGTCCCCGTTTTGTAATTATGGTTTGTTGCTTTTTAAATTGCTTAGCTCTTTACGGGAATTGATGTGAATTGATCGTTAATTTGCATTTATTCGATGAAAAAAGGCGAAAAGAAAAATTTTTTCTTTAATGGTCAATCTAATCTAATTTTTCAGTTGAGTGGGGCTCACGGGGACTGCGCCCCCGATGGGGCTCACTAGGGCAACGCCCCCGATTAGGGTTTACGAAGGCTGCGTCCCTGAGTGGGGCTTAAGGGGGTTGCGCCCCCAAGTGGGGCTCACGAAAGCTACGCATCCGATGGGGCTCATCCGATTCAAGATTAACGCGCCACGGCGCCCACTCTAACTCTAACCGGTCTCCTATGCGATGCCGTGTTGGTTAGAGGTGTGTAATATGCGGTCATAACCTCACTTTTCCCGAATTTTAGTGATAACAGGCGTTTCCGTCAGCCGATCGGCTCCAAAATCAATAGGGTTCTTAAGGCGGCCGAGGGGCACCTACTGGCCAAATTTCATCGAAAAAGAATGTTTCTGTGAAGAGTTATCGCGGTTCGCAGAAATCCGGACAGACAGACAGACAAAAATTTCACTTTTTTTTTCGACGTAGAATCGATTGGTACAAGTTTCATCGCGATACGACTTCAAATGGCCGAGATATCGAGGGTTTCTTGTTCGAAAAAGTGAAACCTACATAGAAAATTTTTTGAAGAAAAAAATTTTCTTAACAAGGAAGCTGTATCCTAAGTTGTAACTCTGTTCAATTTTATTTGTACTTTTATTGGCAAAATTTTTGTACCTTTACGAATATAATTGGCAAAAAAAAACATAAGATCATCAGTATCATTAAATAGACATAAAAAATGTCAAATGTCAAATTTAATACAGATAGAATTTTTTAAACATTTTTTCCATGTTTCTGGTGTCTTATCTTACTTGAAATTTTTCTCTGGGGCGCGAATTCTGATGCACTCTGTATATAGGACGTTGATAAATACTAATCTAGTCCATCGCCTGAAATTATTTTCAACTATACACCGTGTCTCAAAAATAAGTTACAATACAAACTTGTGTTTTTTTAAATGAAACACCATATGTTTCTTAGCGTTTTTTGATGATAATGTTTTTAAGCTAAACTTTTATTGGTCGATGTTGCTTAGTTTTAAAAATAAGATGGTTTTTTGACTAAAACATACACTTTTTAAAAATTCATTACACAAAAACACTACCGAAAAGAAGAAGGTACAAACTATAAGTAACATTTTTTTAGTGTGTTGCATTTACAAAGATAAAAAAAAATGAAGGCGTTTGTTAAAAGTTCAAACCTAAAAAAATTAAATGAAATTAATTAATTAAACCCTGTTTATTGTTTTTGCATTTAAGATATTAAGATCTTTCTAAAATTATTTACTTTAGGTTTAGGTTAGGTTTATAATCAATAAGTAAAAAGATATTTAACGTTAAACATTAACAAAGAATAATTACTATTGTTTCAGTAGCCACAAAGTGCACAGTTGCACAAGAGATGAAAGAAATATCACTTAATAATCACATTTGTGTTAAACTGAATTCATTATTCTTTATTTTTACATTAAAATAATTCAAATGTTAGTATTTATAACGACTTTTGCAATCTCTGGATAAAACAACGGATAAGTGATCCGTGGTGGAATTACTATGATTGCCATAGTATCAACAACGCTCAGATATTGATAGACATTGTTGCTACAATTGATATTGAATGTTAAATATCTTTTCATTTATCAATTCTAGACATTAAAAGTTTTTTTTTTAGATAGACAATTTATCAATCTTTTAGATACAAAAATTTAAATAGTGTGTTCCATTAAAATTTTTCAAGTTATTTAACATTTAACTTCTTAATTTATTAATCTTTTTAAATGCAAAACACTAAAAAATTGCTACAGTTTTAAATTCGGTACTTTCTTCTTTGCAGAAATAAGAAAAAATTTGTTCTAGCTGTCTTACTTTTTGTGTAACAAATTTTTGAAAAGTGCATGTTTTTGTCAAAAAAAAGACGTCTTATTTCTAAAATTAAGCAAAATCGACTAATAAAAGTTTAGCGTAAAAACATTGTTATAAAAGGCTACATGCAAAAATGCAAAGAAACATACGGCGGTGTTTCATTTTAAAAAATACAAGATTGTATCGTAACTTACTTTTGGGACATGCTGTATAGTTGAAAATAATTTTAGGCTATGGACTAGATTAATATCTATAAATGTCCTATACATTTTTTTTATTTTACCATTAAAAGGTCACTAATGGCCTTTTTTAACTCGCTGGGACATCCTGTATGTACAAAGTGTTTCACATAAGTTTACCAGGGCCCTATTTCACCAACTTGCAACTTTGCGCTTTCTACTTTGCGTTCACCAACACCAGTATACAGGATGATTCAAAAGTGTCGGACCAACTCTCGAATTTCAGCTAAGCATAAAAATGAATGAATTTTTGAGAAAAACAGAACCGTCAATTTCCATATTATCTTTTAGGCATCTTAGTTCTTTTGTTTCCGATGTTGTTGGATTTTATTCATTGTTGAATTATTTGTTAGTTTGTTACATGTTTTTTGCACCGTAAGACACAAATTGGTGATTTTTTTTCTACAGATTTTTACACTCTTGTAAAATCTGACGTTTTCCCCCAATTAATTCAAGATTACATAATTTGAACGGCCAAAAACTTAACTCAAAACCTAATCTTTGAAAAGCTATATCTTGTGAAAAAAGGTTCAAACAATTTTTTTGTCTTTGAAACTTTTAACCCAGTTAGATGTCTTTTATCACCACCCAATGGGTTTACGACTCGATAAACTTTACCTTAGTGAATAATAGCCGTCATTATACTCGAATACCCTTGGTAACGGTTATCAAATTAATCATTATTTTACTATTGCATGCTATTGCTATTTATTTCAAAGGAATACAACTACAGAAGACTGCAATTTTTCACTATTTTTAGTCGAGTTTGTAACGGATTATGCATTTTACAATTGCAGGCCTCGTAAAATTATGTGAAACCCCCTGTGTAATTAAACGTAATTTGTAATAAAATAAAAATAATAATAGTAAAGTAATAGGAGTAAAAGATATTGAAATCGTGAAACATTATATTTTTAATGGAGACGTGAGGTTTCAAGATAAATATTTTTAGGGTCTTGCCGGTGTTGCTCAAACAACTGGTTGGCCTGGAGTTGTTACCGTAATGAGCAACTGGTTTGGAAAGAAAAAACGCGGACTGATTTTCGGTCTTTGGAATTCCCACACTAGTATTGGCAATATTTTAGGTAATTAAGTGCGAATCTACAAAATATTTCGTCTAATTATGAAATATGTAGGCTCTCTAATAGCAGCAGAATACGTTGAAACTGACTGGTCGTTATCATTCATAATGCCAGGTTTGATTGTTGGAGTTGTAGGATTTGTTTTATTTTTATTTTTGGTGGTGAATCCTAGTGACGTCGGATGTACCGTAGCCGAACCGGAAGAACGAACCCAAAACGGGGTAAAAAACGACACTTGGCAATAATTTCGAATATTTTCTTTTTTCTCTTTAGCGACAGTATAGAAAATTGCAAGATCGGGTCGCTGATGTTGATAATGCGTCACGAATCAGTTGCGAAACCGACGATACCGATATTATTTTAGGCGAAGAGGTAGGTTTTTAGCTTACAAAATACTAATCTGTCGCTTTTACGCTGAAACTAACATCACGAAACATTATTTTAGGCCGTCTTAACACACAATATTCAGTACGCGTCCTTAGATGAATTTGTAAGTGCATGCTTTTTTTGTTTTGTTTTGTTTATTTTTAACTCCGGATGCAGAAAAGATGTCTCAAGGTTTTATCACTGTTTTTTCGTCTGCGGCTCTTTACTAAAGTCTTTTCAAGAAACAAATTTTTATGAATGCGACTGTCAAAATTAGAAAAAAAAGTGTATAGAGATAATTGGCATCTACCGTGCGATCAAATAAAAAATAAATTAGAGTAGGCGTCGATTAAATTCTACAGTTGGCAACACATTAGCTGTGAATCTCTTTCCACACAAACTGAAAGTAAAAATGACAATCTACCGTTTTCCTCTTGTACAGTAATAAAAATTTTCTGCTCTAAAGTGAACAAACATTATTTCACTCAAAAGGAATAAAATTCAAACTTGTCAAAGTTTCCGCTGACATTTGATGTCAAAAATCAGGATTGCCATCTGAAGGGCTTGAATCACCGCCTACTCTAATTTATTTTTTTTTGATCGCATGGTATAAAATTAATAAAAGCCTAACGTTTAATCTCATTTAAATATTTTATATTTTACTTATACCTAGGGCTTTATCTTTTGTTTATAGCTGTTAAGACAACTAAACACTTTAAAAATCGAAGTTTAAATTCGAGCGACCGGAGGGAGCGAGAATTTAATATGCTGAAACTTTTAAACTATAAAACTCGTGTTGTCTTCAAGATTTTTTGCAACACTAATATTGAATCAGAACTTTTACTAAATTCAGAAATTATTGTAAAGAAGTATGTCGAAATAATATCAAAATTGATAAAAAAATATGCATCAGCGTATTCATAACGTACTTTTTGTATTATACTTCTATCATAATCCTAAATTAAAACACGCTGCAGCGTGCGTAATTTGGCCTTTATAGCACGCTGAAATTTTAAAGTTGTCTAGGTAACAAGAAATAGTGAAATGTCTGAACCAATTACAACGTGAAAAAATGTGCTTAACAACGTAAACTAGTAACCGTCTCTACGAAAACGATTCACAAACAACCTTTGTTTTTTTTTTAATTTTTTTTTTTTTCAAGGAAGTGCAAAGAAGACTCACCGAAAGGACTCGTCTATTGCCTGGAAATGATGCTTCTTCCAGAGACACCGCCATTGGTTTCCTAGGAGCCTGTCGTATTCCCGGGGTGATTGAATATTCACTTTCGTTGTTTTTTTCAAAACTCGTCAGTTATACGTTTTTGTACTGGTTACCGTTGTACGTAAAAGAATCACGTGAGTGGAAAAAGAATTTTTTTATTCATGGAATTACAATTACAAGTTTTACCGCCCGCAAAAAAATTAATACTTTTAGTTGTGTTAAAATAAATCCTTAAAGCACAAACGCTTAAATGCTTAAATATTGACTCCCTAAAATGAGTCTTTTTCGAACTCAATAAAATAGTACGTAAAAGGGTTATTTTCTTGTACTTGTAACAAAAATAACTATTTGTAATTTGCCTCCGTTTTGATTCTCTAATAGACATATTAAAAAATATGTGCGATGCCTAAATAGTCGAAAGGCGACTAGATCAAATTTTGACTTTTAAAATTAAAAAAAAAGACTTTTTAAAAAAAAAGACATTATACCAAATGTCGCACTAATCCCTAAATCAATTAAAGTAAAAATTTGTGTTTAAAAACGGCATAGGTAGAAGGGCAAATTACAAAAAATATGTAGTATAAAAAACTCGTTTCGTAAGACCTTGAAATACTCATTCGAAGTTATGAGGGTTTAAAGTTTGCTCTTTGACTCTATTTATTTCTGTTGGAAAAGTAATTTTCCAAGTTTTTTTGCTATAGGCTATTAAAAGAGGAAACAAGAAAGCTGTATCCTAAATTGTAACTCTCTTCAATGTTATTTGTGGCTTTTATTGGCAAAATTTTTGTCCCTAAATAATTGTAAAAAAAATATACAAGATCATCAGTATCATTAAATAGATATAAAAAATGTCAAATGTCGAAAAAAATGTCAAAATTTTTTGACAGAGAATTTTTTAAATATTTTTTTCATGTTCCTGGTATCTTACCTTACTTGAAAATTTTCTCTGGCGCACCCTGTATACTTTTTTTCATATTAATGTGCATCAAGTTAATTTAAAGGCCGATTTACACAAAAAGTGTTATTAAATGTAATTCAGAAGAAATTTAATCATATCAATAATGACAAAAATCCTTATGTTTGCTATCCTATGTTGTTAATTGTAATTATTTTTGCTACATGGTGTACACCATTTATTTGAAAAAATATTTTTAGGGAAGATTGAGATTAGGATTGTTTGAATTTTCGCATGGTTGCCACCTTAAAATAATCCCTTTCAATGCGCATTAATATGAAAACGAATATAACTGTCCACCGTAAAGTAGTCCCAACGATTTAGGAACATATTCGGGTCAGGCCTCAAACAACTCCCTCGATCGTTATGACATTTTTAACAGCCCTGAATACGTAAAACTATTTTTAGCGAAAAGTAAAAATTGGAATACCCTGTCTATTGTTTTTTTTTTTTTAGTGAAGATGGGCGCTACCCTAAGTGCTGATTTGTCAACTCTTTTCGATGTTGGAGGTATTGTGGGAGCCATTGCAGCAGGGGTTATAAGCGATCATAGCGGAATGTCCGCCACTACGTGTGTGGGGATGTTGGCAATGGCGGCCCCAATGGTGAGTTCGTAATATAAGTTTTATAGCTTTCAAGAAGAAAATAAAATTGACTATATTTTTATACTCTAAATAAAAATTGACGAATTGCTTTTATTCGTTACTTGATTCTATGTAAATAAATACGCGGTCAAGAGTTCTGAAAATTTTATAAACGTATGTCTTGAATATTGTAAATAACTGTCAGTTATCTGTCAAATTTACCAGTTTTGGCAATATTATTTATTTGCAAATTAGAAAATAATTTTTGATAAAGTTGTTTGTTGCTTATTACTGTAATTTTATGGTAATCGGAAAGAGGCGCACAGAAAAAAACTCACAAGAAAAAAGAGAAGGTACAGTTGTGAAATTAAAATTTCGGGCAGTATTTTCATTTTCATAATGTAAACTCTAAAACAACCTTTACATTAATAACCTCATTTTTTACTCTTGTCATGTTTGTCATTTTGACTTAAAAAATAGCGTCACCAACAGAAAAGTTTAATTGTCAAATGTCAGTCATGACAGTAAAAGGTAGTTTACAGTGAACTTTTTGATGTGACAGAAAAATACTGCCCGAAATTTTAATTCCGTAACTGTACATACGTCGTGTATGGTCTAAGACCTGGCGTAAATTCTTCGCGATGATCGATACATAATTTCAGCTATTTATTAATTTTATAATATAAAAAAATACCTACCAACTGTTTCAAGATACCTAAACATAATAAAACGAAATAAGTTTACAAACAAAATATATATTAAAAAAAATAATTATTTTTCTGATTAAAATTCTACCGCCACTGTGTTAAATATTGATTAAAACCAATTTCTTTCTAGGACAAACTAAAAGTCAGCATAACAGCTTTCTCGGTAGCATCATTATATTGTTCTGCCTACCCTCTGTGGTATAACTTAAATAATTTGACATCCTCTAAAACGTAACAATTTAGGCAAGACATACGTTGATGACATTTTCACAGCACTCTTAACTACGTTTTTCTTCAGACACATGTTACAATGATTGTACAGCGTGATCAACAATGAATGTTGGTAACAATGAAAATTTGAATGATTTTGGTACCACTGTAATTTAAACTCATTTCCGGTTGTCAGATTTGACAGGCAAATTTCAAATTTATCGTCAAAGGTTCGTTTTTATAACATTTTATTTATTAAAATGGTTTTTACACTGGAACACGACATTTTTATTGGGATGGCCTATTTTCGTACCGGAATTTACGATGTTAATAACGGTTGGGAGTATTCTACGGATGAAGCATTCAACCAATTTCGGGGCATGTTCCCTGAAGAAGTTGTCACCTTGCCTGTATTTAGACAGCACTGTATGCAATTGGTCCAGTGTTACCTACAAACAGGTGATGTAAAGAAGCCCAAACCCGTCGGTAGACCATCTATCCTTACGGAAGATGTAGTCGAGGACATTAGAAGTAGAATGGATGAAGATCCTCAAAAATCAGTGAGAAAGCTTTCACTCCAGACAGGTCTGATCCTTATCTAAACCACAAACATCCAAAGTTGTTTACAAGGCACCTTTAAGGGCCTAGTAATCCTTACCAGTAAAAATCCCATCATTCCTTTTCCTTTTTTAGAGGCTTATCATATGACAGCTGTGTAACTGTCTTAAAGAAAAAATTAAAGCGTTACCCTTACAAGTTCTCCATGATCCAATCCTTGCATCCCCCAGATTACCAAGAAAGGGTTAATTTTTGCTGTTGCACGGCACGAATACCAATGACCGATGCGGGCACAAATACACGCCAGGAAGTTGACAAAACAGACATTTTCAACATTTATTGTATATCTTGGCTGTCAACGAGTGCCAGCCACACCACAGGTGGCACATAACCTAATTTTCTTTTAATGTCACGTCAAGTTAAAACATCCGGTCAGTGCCAATTACTAGACAAAAAAAAAACACCAATACTTTTCAATTGTTTCATTGCCAACAGACTCAGTCATTGTTGATCACGCTGTATTAAGTACATTTTCCATTTTTTTTTCAGATGTACATTTATCAAAAACTAAGCTACTACAGTTTGGCTTTAAATATGGTATTACTGATAGTCGTCGGAATCCTAGTGAATGGGCCTTACGCTCTAATTACAACTGCCGTTTCAGCCGAATTAGGCACACATTCCAGCCTAGAAGGTAATTCGAAGGCATTAGCTACAGTTACTGCTATTATTGACGGAACTGGTTCAATCGGTTTGTAGTAAATTAAATGTAATGAACTTTTAAAAATGCAAAAATTACAGGTGCAGCTGTTGGACCATTATTGGCTGGCTTTGTATCAAACTATGGATGGTCCAATGTATTCATCATGTTGATGATATCTGACATTTTAGCTTTAATTTTATTATTACGATTAGTTAAACATGAAATCCACAGATGTCGAAGTATAAGAAGAGAAATGCGTATAGAATGACATTAAGTTAGTGTTGTTATGTTCTTAAGTAACAACACAAAATAGCCTAATTTTAATTAAATTATTAAATTTTATTGTGATATAATAGTTGCAATTATATGTCGTAAAAATATAAGTAAAGGTATACCGAACTTCTATTAAAGTTGACAATTGGAATAAATAGTGTTTGATTTGTATTTTGACTTATGGGGATCCTAATGGTATTATAAATGAAATGTTGTCTGCAAATTCGCCCCAACTCGTACGGTTCACTTGGAATATTGTTACCCAGGTCACAATAATCACAAACCAAATTAACGATCCTATTGCTGAATAAATAACATCTAAAATTTGGAAAAGTTAGAAGATTTTTAAACATTGTAGAAACCTCACATCTGCGTATTTCTTTCTGTTCCTCATATTCGGGCTTTCGGAAAGCTTCTTGAAAAAACCAAATTGCGTTAACTGTCCAGATAAACGGTAAGAAGGCTAATCCAGCTGAAGGAACAAAATTAGGTTAGAGCAATATTTTGCATAAATTCTCACCTCTAAAGTACCAACGGCATAAATAAAGTTTTTTATCGTTCGTCATTTTTGATAAATCCATCTTTGGTAATGTTTTTTATTTATTTATCACCTAAAATAATATCCAAAACATTACAGATATGACACATGAAATTACTGTTGGAAAATTTTATACCTAAGGTTGGCAGTACCAAATCAAGAAATTTATCCAATTATTATGGAAGCTAACCTTCATATTTTTGTTTATACTCGTGAAAGTTGTGTTGTGAACTAGGTAATACATGATACATAAGTAATATTATAAAAGTATAAATCTGAAACACTCATTTGATCGCTGAATGATTTTTTTGCTACGGCTTCACTCAAATCAAGGCGTCGATTTTGCACCAAATTTTCGAAAATTACTTCGCCGCCAATTCCCAACCTACAAATTATAAAAACAACAAAATGGTAAATAGAATCTCAGCCCTTTGTCATTCAGTTTTAAGTGATTAATTTTTTAGAGACGAAGCTTGGCACCAAGTCAAGTATTAAAACGTCAAAATCTTTCACAGCAAGCAAGCTTAAGTGAACCTATTACAACAAAACGAACTCGGAATCAATCAACTGAAAATCCCTCAAAAATACGCAAACCTTTATTAGAATTAAACCCAACAGAAGTTTACATAAGCAACCATGTACGTCAATTTCTTTTTCTTCAATAACTTTACTCAAAGTTCTATTTTAGGAGGAAATTATTAAAAAACTGTCCGCTCCCTTTAAGTGCCCTCTTCCTGATTATCAAGGATGCAATTCGACCCGAACCTTGGGAATGCGTCGAAGCAAACCTCGCCGCCCTTTGTATGATCCCAACACTCCAAACGCTCTCGTTCTCTATTCGCCTCCAGAGCAATCTGAACACGAAAAAATCAAAAGTGACGCCCCCATTCTTGTTCATGTTGTTGTCGACCCTACTTTGAGTAACATCTTGCGCCCCCATCAACGCGAAGGTGTTAAATTCATGTACGACTGTGTGACTGGCGTCCAAATACCCAACTCATATGGTTGCATAATGGCCGATGAGATGGGGTTGGGCAAAACCTTGCAATGCATTACTTTATTGTGGACTCTGGTGCGCCAGGGTCCTGAATGCAGGCCCACCATTGACAAGGCTATCATCGTGTGTCCCAGTTCCCTGGTTCGTAATTGGAGCAATGAAATTGACAAGTGGCTCAAAGGCAGGTTAAACTCCGTAATTATGGATGGGGGCCCCGACGCGAAGAAAAAACTGACACAGTTTATGCAGGGTTTTGGACGGACGGCTATTCCTGTATTAATTATTTCATATGAGACATTTCGAATGCATGCAAGTATTTTGCATAGTAGTGAGATTGGATTAGTGTTGTGTGATGAGGGGCACAGGCTAAAAAACTGTGAGAATCAGACATACAAAGCTTTGATGGGGCTCAAGGCGAAAAGGAGAGTTTTGTTGAGCGGTACACCAATTCAGAACGACTTATTAGAATATTTCAGTTTGGTTCATTTTGTTAATGAAGGGTTGTTAGGAAGTGCTCAGGAGTTTAAAAAGAAGTATGAAAATCCAATTCTACGGGGACAAGACTCCACCGCAACTGATTCAGAAAGACAGAAAGCTGTGGAATGTCTTAAGGAATTATCAGACTTGGTTAATCGGTGTCTTATCAGACGCACTTCAAATCTCCTCACTAAATATCTACCAGTGAAATTCGAAATGATTGTTATTTGTCAACTAACACCATTACAAAAACAAATCTACTTGAATTATATCAATTCAGAAGGTTTACGAAAATCGGTCTTAAATGATGTTGAAGTTAAAGCGTCTCTAAGCGCTTTAGCGAGTATTACAACATTGAAAAAATTGTGCAACCACCCTGATTTGATCTTGGATAAAATTCTTGAAGGTGGTGAGGGTTTCGAAAAATCTCGTCAGTTGTTTCCTCCAAATCACAGTGATAAAGATGTAATGCCGGAATTGTCGGGCAAACTGATGCTTCTCGATTGTTTCTTAGCGAATTTAAAAACCAACTACGATGATAAAATTGTGTTAGTTTCAAATTATACACAAACTTTAGATCTGTTTGAAAAGTTGTGTCGAAAGAGAGGGTATCGCTATGTACGTCTTGATGGAACAATGAGTATTAAAAAAAGAGCCAAAGTGGTCGCAAATTTCAACGACCCGGAATCCGGAGAGTTTATTTTTATGTTGAGTTCCAAGGCTGGAGGTTGTGGCTTGAATTTGATTGGAGCAAATCGATTGATTATGTTTGATCCGGATTGGAATCCAGCAAATGATGATCAAGCTATGGCAAGAGTATGGAGAGATGGACAACAAAAACCTTGCTACATTTATAGGTTTTTAGCGGTAAGGAACAAGTTTTATTTTTTTAATGTGCCACTTAATAGTCTTTATAATTTTAAAAATACAAAGTGTCAGAATTTGCACCCCAGAGAAAAAATTCAAGTAAGATAAGATACCAGGAATATGGACAAAATGTTTGAAAAATTCTATCTGCCAAAAAATTTTGACATTTGACGTTTTTTTTATATCTATTTAATGATGCTGATTATCTTGGATGTTTTTTTATAATTATTTAGTTAAGGTACAAACATTTTGCTAATAAAAGCCACACATAACATTAAACAGACTTACAATTTAGGATACAGCTTCCTTGTTTCCTCTTTTAATAGCCTATAGCAAAAAAACTTGGAAAATTATTTTTCCAACAGAAATAAATAGAGTCAAAGTGCAAAATTTAAATTTAAATTTCGAAGTTATGAGGGTTTAAAGTTTGCACTTTGACTCTATTTATTTCTGTTGTAAAAATAATTTTCCAAGTTTTCTTGCTATAGGCTATTAAAAGAGGAAACAAGGAAGCTGTATCCTAAATTGTAACTCTGTTCAATGTTATTTGTGGCTTTTGTTGGCAAAATTTTTGTCCCTTTACTAAATAATTGTAAAAAAACATATACAAGATCATCAGTATTCTTAAATAGACATAAAAAATGTCAAATGTCAAAATTTTTTGACAGAGAATTTTTTAAACATTTTTTTCATGTTCCTAGTATCTTACCTTACTTGAAAATTTTCTCTGGGGCGCGAGTTCTGGCGCACCTTGTATAAAAACATGTAGATCATGAAATAAGGCTGAGAATGATGAATTTTGTACAGTAATTACAAAAATGTGTTTTACCTTTCATTATCCTGAAAATATCAGTTCTAAAGCTCAAAAGTGCAACAACACTAACTTTAGTGTAATAATGGGATAATAATAAGCATTTTACAATAATTGATAAAACATTTATACAAATAATAAAATATAAGTTCGTTGATTATGTACTTGTATTTTCTTACACTACTACGCATTATCAAAAACAATCGAATCAACTAGGTATAAATCTTTAGAGCAATAAAGTAATATTTTAAGTAGCTTAAAGCTATTTACTTATCAACTTCAGTCCAATTGGCAGTGTTTTTAGAAGCATTCTTAGCTCTTCGTGCTGTATATTTTGACTACAGTACAAAAATTCAATTTGTCTTATTTGTGTTGAATAATTAATTTTCATTGAAAGAAACTAAACCTTAATTAAGAAAATACGAAAACTAGATAACTAAAAATCAAATAAAGACAATTTTACAAAAATAGGTAACTAAACAAATGAATAACTGTGATAATAAACAAGTGTCAATATTCTTTATGATAATCACATGTTTATTTTATTTTTTAGAACAATTTACTAATGAAAATTGTTTACAATACGGAAAAAACTATTTCTAGAATTAACACAACAATAAAAAACATTGCATTATCTTAAGCTCATCGAATTAATAAGAATTTCATTTCTATCTAATCATCTTAAGTATTTTCAGGTAATTAAATAAAGTATTTCACTTAAAACAAAAACCATTTAGAATCGACAAAGAATTAGAGTTAACAAAAATCATATTGCCGTTTACTCACTAACAGTATAATTTTTTTATCTAATCAATAATGATTCTTATTAATTATATGTTATCATTCACCTTAACATTACTTTAGAACAATATAGTTTATCACCAATTAAAATAATGATCTAGACGTAACCTTGACCAATCAATTGTCATTTTAAAAATTTTATGTATAAAAATTTTGTCATTTATTTTTATTTTTTGTCTATGATGATACTGATGATCTTGTATATGTTTTTTTTATAATTACTTGCCAATAAAAGCCACAAATAATATAACAGAGTTACAATTTAGGATACACCTTCCTTGTTTCCTATTCTAATAGCCTGTAGCAAAAAAACTTGGAAAATATTTTTTCCGACGGAAATAAATAGAGTCAAAGTGCAAAATTTAAATACTCATAACGTCGAAATTTTTATAGATAGTATTTTTTTAACATTGTTTTCCATTTTCCCGATATCTTACTTTACATGGCATTTTTCTCTGGGGCGCGAGTTCTGGCGCACTCTGTATGAAAAACTTCATTGCGTGTGTTGCTTTTCGGAATTAACTTCGTTTAAAAATAACACAAAAAGACATTTTTTGTAGAAAATTGTCCATTTAATCCGAATTTGCCAAAACATTTCAAAAAACCTCTTCCAAAGTAAAATTTAACGCCTTCAATAGATTGATTACTGTGCTTTCGCCTCCCAAATTAGGGCACACAATTTTTTATGGCAACAAATTAAATGCACAGTGTATTATTTAAAATGTCAGTATTTTTGTGATCAGTAAAAATAATAAATGCATAATAAAGACAATAATGAATGACTAGCAAAACTAATTAATTTATTATTCGCACATTTACTACAAACAAAATGTTTCCGAGCAAAACTGGAATGTTGCAAACTGTTCAAAAACAAAATTGTGATATCAAGAGCACAGCAGGGCATAGATTGGCGTATGCTGATTAGACTGATTATTACCATTTGTGCACAGTTTTCAACTCTTGCTAAAATCATTCGTGCGCAGAGGCCCTTGCTAATACATATACCAACCTACAATAATAATAAATAACATTCTTGCGCAGGGGCCATACATTGTTATGTAACCAAGATTGAAAATTCCTTAAATTTTATGTTGTTTTGCTAATTTTGGTTAAAGGTTCTGAGCGTTTATTATTTTTACTGTGGGTACAAATTGGATTTTTTTACTGAACAATTTACAATCAAATACTGTGCATCTTTTACTTGGCATTTATGATTTTTACTGTGCAAAATATTATATTATACTAATCATTTATCATTTTATACTGATCAAAATTGAATTATTTTTTTTTTAATTATTAGGTACTACTCATTTTTTATATTACGCCAAAAACTTACTTCAAATGCAAACATCATGTTTGTTTTCTTATAATAAAGACTACATTTAGTTTTAATATTTGATATTGCTTGATTTTATAAGTATATTGTTCCATTACAGGCGGGTACCATTGAAGAGAAAATTTTCCAAAGGCAAGCTCACAAAAAAGCATTGAGCTCGACTGTCGTCGACAATAATGGAGAAACAGCGAGGCACTTTAGCGTCGCAGAATTGCGCGAATTATTTAAATTGGAGGAAACGGATTCGGACACACATGCAAGACTTAAATGTAAACGGTGTTTATGTAAAATACAAACGAAAAATCCACCTGATGAGGCAGATTGTACATCGGATTTGACGCATTGGTATCACTGTTGGGACAAAAAAGGATTGGCGGATATGGTAAATATTTCTTATAACTGCTCTCGAAACTATTGTAATGTTTCGTTTTTTTATAGGTTCTTAAGCAGATATGGGACATGGCGACATACATTTCATTTGTATTTCATCAAAAATCAGCTAAGCAAGAAGTTAAACCTGTTAAAGAAGAGGAAGAGGATCCCGATTACGACAAAGATGATTCGGATTATTCAGAATAGTGTATATAATAGTAATAGTGTAAATATGTAAGATAATACAATAGTGTTGTTCTTTGGTTTAATTGCTCATTTTTCTGTACTCATAAAATTTAGAACGGCAAGTAAAAAGGAGGGTGTGTTTTGACACTTTCTGAAATTTTACTGAAAAGCAGGCTCTAAAATCAAATTTAACTTTTCGAAACCTCCAAAACGTCAAAAAGCCTGAAACATCAATGACTTTAGTAAAGTCCGTTTTTTTTATTTATGCGTGTGGATCAAATAATTCGAAAAACGTACTAGATAGCTATCTCTTTTCAACATTTGTAAACAGCCTCGTTGCTCTGTCGCTAGGTATTTGGCCGGTCACGCTTTTTATCTCACTTTAACAAATGCGATTAAAGTAACGCTGGACTACTGATTTGTTACTTTAGTATCAAAAACGCAAATTTTAACAGTCTGTTAAATGTCAAAAACAGATGAAGGTCATGTCGTGTTCTTGATTCACTCTTCCTCCACCAGCAAAAAAAAAATAGTACTTTATTATTATTATATGTATACAGGGTTGCGCCAAAACTCGCGCCTCAGAGAAAAATGTCATATAAGGTGAGATACCAGGAACATGGAAAAAATGTTAAAAAAATTTTATCTATAAAAATTTCCGAGTTATAAGGGTTTAAAGTTTGCACTTTGACTCTATTTATTTCTGTTGGAAAAATGGTTTTCCAAGTTTTTTTGCTATAGGCTATTAAAAGAGGAAACAAGGAAGCTGTATCCTAAATTGTAAATGTGTTCAATGTTATTTGTGGCTTTTATTGGCAAAATTTTTGTCCCTTTACTAAATAATTGTAAAAAAACATAAACAAGCTCATCAGTATCATTAAAAAGATATAAAAAATGTCAAATGTCAAAATTTTTTGACAGATAGAATTTTTTAACCATTTTTTTCATGTTCCTGGTATCTTACCTTACTTGAAAATTTTCTCTGGGGCGCGAGTTCTGACGCACCTATATATATTATATAATATACTATTACATAATTAACTGGTGCCTAATTCAAATAATTTCTTTTTAATTTCACTAGAAATGTAATTGAATAAACTATCCAATATGAGGAAGATAATAATTACTAAAAACAAAATTTGTTCTATTTATTTATTTGTAAATTCATGCAACAAAAATACAATGCTTAACAATCTTTGTACGTCCCTCATGTGTTTATGAAACACAAAATCGTTATGCTAATCAAGCACACGCACATAATCTAATAATACTTAATAATTAATAGCTTTCTATCGTAGAGAGCTTAATGGCCTATAATTATAATACGGCCTAAGATTTATCCCATCCTAGTCAGTCAAATATTTCTTCAAAGTCGGCTCGTTTCGTGAATATTATTTTTTGTGTTGGCAACCATTGATGTTATTGTTGGTAGGTTTGTTTCATCAGCCGTTGTGAAAATGTTATTGTCATGACCCCCATCTTTAGGAGCGGTGGCTTCTGGTTGTGGTTTGGGACCATCCATTATGAAAATTGTGAGGAGGAACATAATGGAACCTGCAAGCAATTTTGTTATTAATTTATTTTTCTATTTCGGTGTCATAATGAGCATTTTATGCAACTGAAAACAGTTGCACAAAATGCAGTTTAGTATTTATGCAATACTAATGCAGTTTAAGATATTTTCAAGCAATTTGTTACCGCCTACATCAAATGTCATAAATTTTAACTGTCAAATATTACTTATTTATTCGACGAGTTTGAGTGTAAATCGGACGCTTTATTTCACGAATGGATTTTTAAACCACGAGTGTTAACGAGTGGTTTATCTTTCATGAGGTGGAATAAATGAACCAATTTACACGAAGACGAGTTTCTTTAAATCTGTTAAAAATAACACTAGGCGTCATTTTTAATTTTTTTAGATAAAAATAAAAATAAAAATTTAGATAAAAATACCTGTATTCTATGTAATTTTGTTCAGAAAATCTAAAAGTGATCACCAAAATTCTCCATCACGTAGGGTTTTTTTTTGTTATTTTTGTGGTTGAAGTAATCACTCATATTCACGATATAGATTGAACTAAAAAAAATGTATAAACCATTTCTAATTTTAAATTACACAAAATGAACCACTAGATACATAATAAATTGAACACAAATTTAACAAAGAAATATTTTTTAAAATTTCCTTTTTGTTTTTGTTATGCGAAGTAAAGGTAATCTAGTCCATCGCCTAAAATTATTTTCAATTATACAGCGTGTTTTAAAAATAAGTTACAATGCAAACTTGTGTTTTTTTAAATGGCATTAGCGTTTTTAGATGTAGATTTTTATTAAACTTTTATTGGTCGATTTTGCTAAGTTTTGAAAATAAGACGGTTTTTTTGACAAAAACATACACTTTTTAAAAATGTATTACACAAAGACGAAGACAAATAAAAAGATATTTAACGTTAAACATTAAAAAAAATAATTACTATTATTTCAGTAGCCAAAAAATGCACAGTTGCACAAGAGATGGAAGAAATATCATTTAATAATTTACATTTGTGTTAAACTGAGTCCATTATTTTTTATTTTTACAATAAAATTATTCGAATTTCAGTATTTATAAGCACTTTTACAATCTCTGGATAAATCAACGGATAAGTGATCCGTAGTGGAATTACTATGGTTGCTATAGGATCAACAATGCTCAGATATTGATAGGCATTGTTGCTTCAATTAATATTGAATGTTAAATATCTTTTTATTTATCAATTCTAGACATTAAAAGTTTATTTTTTTAGATAGACAATTTATCAATCTATTAGATACAAAAATTAAAAATAGGGTGTTCCATTAAATTTTTTTAGGTTATTCAACTTTTAACAAACTCCTTAATTTATTAATCTTTACAAATGCAATACACTAAAAAATTGCTACAGATTTAAATTCTATACTTTCTTCTTTGTAGAAGTAGGAAAAATTTTTTGTCTTACTTTTTGTGTAATAGATTTTCAAAAAGTGCATGTTTTCGTCAAAAAAACGTCTTGTTTCTAAAACTAAGCAAAATAGACTAATAAAAGTTCAGCGTAAAAACAGTGTTTTAAAAGGCTACATTTAAAAATGCCAAGAAACATACTGTGTTTCATTTAAAAAAAACACAAGTTTGTATCGTAACTTATTTTTGGGACATGCTGTATGGTTGAAAATAATTTTAGGTGATGCACTAGATTAGTATCTATCAATGTTCTATACAATTTTTTTTAGTTGTACCATTTAAATGTCACTAATGGACTTTTTTTTTTACTTTGATACCTTTTTGTCATGGCACTGCCATCTTGATGAAAACGCTCTTTTTTATCACTTAGAGTCCTTAAAGTTTTGTTGAAAGAAATCGAATTGGAAAATGCACTTCGACAGCTAAGTGTTATACAATTTTACAATAGTTTTTAGATACATATAGAATAAATTTCATTTTTATTAATGTCAAAATTAAAAATGTCAAAATTACTTGCTTAAACGGAAAATAAATTGATTTGCGATTACAAATCAGTAGTAAAGAATGAAATTTCCTATAATAATGCCGTAGGTTAACGTTTATCAAAAAAAAATAATTAAAATGAGAAATGTTAGACGTTTTTTTCATTTTTACCATTATAAATCAAATAGTGTGTTTTAAGACTGGTACCAAAAATTATGCTGTTAAGAAAATCATCTCGGCTAGTGTAATCTAACGTTTTGTATTAAGAAATGCCAAACAGTTGTCAAAACTTCCTTACACAGGAGAAACGTAAATTTTGACAGTGTTGAACAATAAAATAATACAACAATAATAATACTTACTTATTCCGTAAAAACCGGCGTAGAAAATGTAAAGACTTTCTCTGTATCCTATGGCTTTGGAGACAGGTTCGACAACAATAGGTAAGTTTCCTCCAATGTTATTCATGACGAAGAGAAAGACTCCAACAGTAGTAGATCGCACATGCAAAGGCACTATTTCGACCAAAATTGCGAAAAGAATTCCGAACCACATTTCAGCTGAAAATTTATGATTCGAGAAAAGTCTCCAAGAGTTTTGTTATAAACTTACCGAAAAAGTAAGAAAGTCCTAAGAAAATCATAGCCCAAGTCGGATTGAAATAAACACTACCGAAGGCTCCAGGTGTGGCAATGATTTGACTTATGGCAAGTACCATAACTCTTGATCGGATTCCCATTTTGGCAACGAAAACGTCTGAAACGATTCCACCAACTACTACCCCAATACTCCCAACAATAATAGTGACAGCAAACAACCACCATCCTAAATCATACTCTGGGAAGTATTGTTGATAATACAGATCGCAGTTGTATGCGAAACACATGCCACCACAGTGTCTCAGACTAGCAGCCAAACACAGCATGATTATCCTAGGATCAAGAATAATCGTCCAAATAGTGATTTTTTTCGCATTTGGGTCATGATCAGCATCTTCTCCAATTGACTGTCTTGGAGGTTCTTTCAGCGTGAACCAAGTTAACACTCCCACAATCAAAGCAACAATTCCAGTCCCGTAATAAGTGACTCTCCACCCCAAACCCCAGGCATTGAGTGGAGGCACATATCGCCCCACGGGAAATGCAATACCATAGCCCCCATAGATCCCCCAGTTGAAAATCGACATAGCCAACGCTCGTTGTTTTTCCGGAAATATATCCGAAAGTAATCCAGTTGCCAGAGGATTACAGCCAGATTCCCCAGCCGCCATGATCATCCTTAACAAGACCAATTGCCAGTATTCTGTGACTCCCCCACAGAGAATGATAGCAATAGAAAAAACGATGGTGCAAATGGCCAAAATGCGTACTCTGTTGTATTTATCTGCAGCGATTCCGAGTATGACGCCCACAACAGTGAAAACGACCATAAAAGTTGGCCCGGCTAAAATCTGGTAGTCTATTCCCAGTCCATTGTAGTTCCATTCACAGTAAGGAGTACCATTGATGTTATAAGATAAGCAGATTTCGGAACTGTTGGCCGTATCACAGGTGGCGGGGAGGTCGCTTAGAGAGAATTCGGTGCTGTTGAATTGACAAGCGATGTCGCCGAAGTGGAGGTCCATAGCAATGACTTTCGAGGTGACGCCAATTAGGTAGTGGCCAAGTTCACCTAAGACATAGCCTATGGAGACTATTGCCAGGACGTAGGGCTGATACAGAAAACTGAGCTTCTCGAAGAAAGGCAACATCTTGCTCTAGAATTAGAAAATTTTCATATTGAGAATATTTTTTTTTCATTTAAAACAAAAATTATAATTTATCAGTTATTATTTATAATTATTTTTAACAATTACTTATACAGGGTGTGTCAGAATTCGCGGTCCAGAGAATAATTTCAAGTAATATAAGATACCAGGAACATGGAAAATATGTTTAAAAAATTTTGACATTTGACATTTTTTATGTCTATTTAATACTCGTGATCTTGTATATGTTTTTTTATAATTATTTAGTAAACATTAATTTAGTAACATTAAACAGAGTTACAATTTAGCATAAAGCTTTCTTGTTTCCTCTCCTAATAGCCTGTAGCAACAAAATTTGGAAAATTATTTTTCCAACAGAAATAAATAGAATCAAAGTGCAAAATTTAAACACTCATAACTTCGAAATTTTTATAGATAGAATTTTTTAAACATTTTTTCCATATTTCTAGTATCGTACCTTATATGGCATTTTTCTCTGGGGTGCGAGTTCTAGCACACCTGTATTATAGATAGAATTCAAATTTAACGTTTTATAATAGTTTGTGTATAACAAGTCTTTTTTAAATTTTGCTGTGTTGTGAACGGACCACAATTTTTAATACAAATACAACTTTCAATACGATGGTTCGTTCACAATCAAACTTTCGTGAATAACTTCGACGCAAAACAACTCCTGTAGGAACTTTATATTTAAAACATCAAAATATGCAACTGCATTTCTTATTTGACCAACTGTTTTACATTATTGAATTTGAATGATCACGATTTAAAATATAATTTTTCAAGTTTTCAGCTGAAAAGTACTGTTTTTGTTTTTTCGGTATTTTATAGCTGAAACAATTAAATTTCCAGTAATAGTTGCGCAAAAATGTTTTTATATCGGATCGGGGAGTTTTATAATTATTAGTGTTATTATTCTGCACTATCATTTTTTTTTATCAAAAAGACGCAACAGCAATATTGAAATTTTTTGTTTAGGTAGGTAATTGCAACTTTATGATATGGCAAGCCTATAAAAAATGTACCTAGGCATTATTATGGATCGTTGATTTTTCACTCTTTGTAACGTAAATCTCTGAAATAAGAGAAACACATCGATGGTAAAATTCTGTTTGTTTACATTATTTGCATTTTATTGCCAGTTGCCACAGAAAGCAGGTTTAGAAAAACTATGCAACTTTCAGTACACCAATTGTCAATAGCTCATTCGGTACCCTGGAGCCTTTTAGTGTAAATGTGCTAATACTAAATAATAAAAAATAATAAATAATTGAACAAATTCTTTCTACTGGGCGTCCGGTCTCAAACTCGAATATAAAGAAATAATGTTGAATGTGATTTTTAAGTGTTTTTATAATTTTTTTGATAATAAAATAAGCAGGTATCTAAATAATCAAGAATTTACTTGGTTTTTATTAAAAACCACAAAAAGTATTAAGTAATAAAGAAAATCAAATACGTTTTGATCACAGAAACCTATTCTGCATTGGAGTAATTATTCATTTTTACTTAACTATAAATAAACTGTAAAAAACTTTGGACGTTTTTGACAAGTACCGCATACTTATTTCACCAAATGTTAGTCTTTAACTTCATTTTGGTGTTTCTAATAGTAAAACTTATGTTATATCAAAGTTAACCTTAAAGTAAAAATACCATTTACCATTTTTATTCTTATTTTTGGAATTATTTGACGCAAAATAATTTTATCTTTTATCTAGGTACCATCACGTAGGTTATATTGGCGAGCAAGAATCAATAAAACTAAACAATACCATGTTAAATCCCTATGTATGTTTGCGATTGAGATCGGACATATTATTCTAACGCCTCATAAAGTACTAGTATAAAACACTAGTGTGTTATTGGTTGCAACACTTATAACTTACTAGTGTGTTATAGAAGTCATAATATATTTGAAATCAGTATAGTAACACGGTTATACTTTTTTATATCTTGATTATTGTGTATAAAAGTGTCACTTGATGTTGCGAATAGAAGTTTTTGTTGGCTATAATAAAATATACTAAGTATAATAAGTATCAAGGACGGTAAGTGCCTTTTACCGGATATCCCCATATTTACCCGAGACCGGTAGCACTAACTCCCGAGATACTTACACTATTTTTGCTCTTTCGATTTGTTAATTAACTGATTTATAATTTCTGAGAAATTAAAATTGAGGTACGGGGCCAAAAACACTACATTTAAAAAATGGTGTGATGAAAAAAAAATATCAGGCAAATTGCTGAGAGCAAAGCTTGTGAAATAAAATGACTGATCGGGCATAAAAGTATTTTGTTGATTTGTGTGTTTTTATGATCAAGAAAGGTTAAAAAGGAAAATAGAATTTTATAATATTGTGAAAATATTTTGAAACAACAATTGAGATTCAAAATTGAAATTAAATAAAAATAGCAAAACTTTCAAAATCAATGTTTTTCAAGGCAATGCTATTAAACTGTTCCTAATAAGAATGACGACTATATGTCTTACTTACTAAAAGAATTTGAAGTACCAATAATGGAAGAATTGTAAAAATGTAACAATAAAGCTCCTTGTTGGCAAAATTGTTTGTGTTGGAAAGTGTCGACAGAACATTTTAACAAACAAAAAATTAAAAGAAAAACATTTTTGTCTTTTAATTAAATTTTAGTTAAAAAATATGAAATGTTATGGTGTAACGATAATGTTAAAAATTATAATATTAAAAGAAAATAATTATTTTAGCGAAAACAGATGGTGTAGGTGTAGAATAAAAATGAAGATATTGAAAATAAATGTAATTTTATATCAGATTAGTTAATACATTTTAATTAATATTCATTAGTTACGTTGTACTTAAATATTTACAATATTGTTGTTGGAGTAAAATTAATTGTGTGGGATTAAAGTCAGTGGAAACAAACGGATTTTCCTTTTATTATTATTTGCTTTATAAATTATACAGAATGTGCCAGAACTCGCGCCCCAGAGAAAAATGTCATGTAAGGTAAGATACCAGGAACATGGAAAAATGTTAAAAAAGTTCTACCTCTAAAAATTTCGAAGTTGTGAGAGTTTAAATTTTGCACTTTGACTCTATTTCTGTTGAAAAAATAGTTTTACAAGTTTTTTTGCTACAGGCTATTAGAAGAGGAAACAAGAAAGCTGTATTCTAAATTATCTCTGTTTAATGTTATTACTGGCTTTTATTGGCAAAATTTTTGTAATACAAGATGATCAGAATCATTAAATAGACATAAAAAATGTCAAATGTCAAAAAACTGTTCCTGGTTTCTTATTTTACTTAAAGTTTTCCTTTGGGGAGCGAGTTCTGACTCACCCTGTATTATTTCTTCTTTTATATGACGGGAAATAACTGCAAATAAGGAATTTTCTATCGAAGAATATAAAAATAAAGGAAAAATGTTGTGAAAAATTACCATCCAGTCAACCAAAGCAGAAGATAATAGGATATCTGCGTTGAGATGTAACACAAAAATTAGTAAATTACAGAGAACGAATGTCGAGGTCTTTGTTCATGGTAGTAATTTTCCCCAAGAAATGCATTAAGTACCACAAAGAGAAAGCCCGACATTGGAAAAAAAACTGCACAATGTCTTTCAAGGGCGTGATAAAAATTTGCAACGATTTTTTACACTAAACATCGTCTATTATGTTTCCGAAATCGGTTAAGTGAAGTGTAACGTAAATTACTTAAGTACGATTCGTTCCGTTTACATTATCAATGTCAAGGTCAAATTGGCAATTGAACCGAAGAATTAGATATTTCTTTTCGTCTGTTCTCCTTCAATGTCAACCGATTGCAAACTACTTCCGAAACTATTTCGAGTTCAAGGATTTTAGAGTCATGGTAAAAGTTCGTTATGGTCTTTTAAAGGAAAATCCCAGGATTTTATCATAAGTTTCAAAAAATTTCAAAAATACTTACGTGTTTTGAGGCACTTCAGCACTCACTTTAACTTTTAACCGGAACCGCACTATGTAACTCCAGGCGGGCAAATTCGCCAACGGTTTCACCTGCTGAACTGCAACAGGTCTTCAGGAGTCCGGTTTTGAAATAGTAGTGAACGCCGGACTCCCACCTACTCTGAAAGCCACTCCATAGCAATACTCCAAAGCTAAAATTGCGTTGGGGTCTTATTTATATTGACTGGAAAATGCCCGATGACGAAACAATGGATTCCCAAAAGTTTGGCACGGAAGAGATAAACGAATGGAAATTACATCAAGAGGTTTCGGCGAAATTGTAATAACGGAGTCGTTAGTGGACTATTTTATATTTTAGCTATGTCATCTATTACTCGTTAAATTATAGGTGGCTAATTACTGTTTTTACTATTTTTGTCTCAGCGTGCTGCTCTGAGGGTAGAAATTACAAAAACATCTTATTTTACAAACTAAGAAAAAGGGTTATTAAAAGTTGATTTTTTTTACGTTTTACACGTTTATGAAATTAATGTATTTTTAGTTATAAAATTAATATTGTTAAGGGATAGCAAAATAATCTAATACTCATACGTGTCTTTGCTAAACCACATCCTTTCTCTGTTATTTCGATAACATAAATAATTCTTGTACAGTTGGGTACAAATTACTTTGCCAAAATCACTTGAGTTATTGACAAAACAATAACTTTCTGAAAAGATTTGTTGCTATCATTCATAAAAAATAATAAAACTTCAAAGCATCAGTTATTATTTTATTAATAATTATTATAATTAAAGACAAAAATTGTTTTAAATTTAAATAATTAATTTTATTTATTTCAATAAAAGGCAAAACTAGATTTTACAAATATTTTATTTATCATAATTACTAATTAATATCAGTAATGTGTATGATATCTATTGTTGGCTAAACATTCATGAGGTCCATGCATACAATCCTCCAAATTTTGGCAAATTTGTGAGTGGCGGAAATGGTCTCAAACGTTACTAACGTGCTGCGACAATTTTTTTATTTTAAATTTGTTCGCGAACTTTGGGTTGAAAAAACTATATTGCCCTATAAATTTTCTATTGGATGGACCCATCGTATAATTTCGAATTCCTCATTTCATTTCTCACCTGATCGTCCAGTTGAAATAATAAATATAATTCTATGAAGGCTCGCTTTGAAGCTTTATTATTTTTCACAGAAATACCTACTAATGTGTAGGTTCGATATTGTAAGAACCAAAATGAAAACAACCAAAATATTCAATAAAGTGTCACAAATTATATCAACAATTTACACTTCCACAGTTCTATTCATTATCAGCTTTTATAAACGAACGGGAAGTAGGATTTTCAAAATTAATTTACGATTCGTAGAAGTAGTGTTGAAAAACAATTAATATTCAGTTATAATGAGAGCAACAAATCTTTGCAGCATTTTATTGTTTTGCCGCTATTACCGGTTACAATAATTAATTAATTAATTGTCAAAGTTACATTTTTGTCGAAAAAATAAAGCCGCTATTGTGATGAAACTTAAAAAGCAGAAAAAAATCCCAAAAGCAAGAAAAAAAATACTTTTCTTTCTATTGAGACAGAATAATGACGTTTTAAAGTTACAAATTTGCTCGTTTCAGTTTAACACACCGTATGACATATTTTACACACCCTTAATTATAACAATTATTATTAATGAAATAAAATCCCATGAAAACATTTAAGTACTTAAAAGAAATGTTGAGGCTAAATTCAAAAGCATTTTTATTACTTTCTCTTCGCAGATGGTTTATAACTGCGGTTAGGTAGGAGGACCCAAATAACTAGGGTGGTTTATGGACACGTCATTTTCAAATTTTCTGAGTGTACATAAAGTTGTAAAGCAAGCGTTAGGATGTTCAACCTTATTTTTTATTTATTTCTACTTTGCTCGTTTTTAAACTCTCATAACTCAAAAGTTTTATAGATAGAAATTTTTTCCATGTTTCATGGCATTTTTCTCTGGGAATTCTAGCGCAGCCCGTATAATGGTACTTTTTTCTGTACCCAATCTTTCTGCAATTTGGCTTATGAACAATTCCTCAGAAGCAAGAGAAAAAAATTTTTTGAACGGTGGAAAGTGCCATATTTTTGACAAGAAAAAAGTCAATAATTTGAAATTGTCATCAATGTTAACTAGACGTTAATGCTTAGTTTACATAATTTTTTAAGCTACAAACTATTGTCCCCAATAGTACATTTATCAATTTTTATAGAAATTTCAAATTTTGTTTTAAATTTATCCGACCTGATGATGAAACTAAAAGCTGCCATAACATAAAGCATTAATATATTTCGTACTATATTATGTTAGTTTACTTATAAACAAATCAGAATTTATTAATTCCTTTAGTTTTCATTATAATTTTAAGGATGTTTATAATACAGAGTGGTTATAAATGATTTTCATCTAGCCAGCTGTGAATTTTCCATGTAAAATAAAAAATGCCGCTTTACGAAAAAGGGGTACCTACTTGTTTTAACTCAAAATTAAAAAAATCGCCGTTTACTAAGCGTCCACTTCGAAAATAGACTTCAATTATAAACTTGTTTTCTTCCAAAGTATACATTATTATCAATTATTATTGGAAATTAGTTGAAACAATAAAAGTTTAATTAACAACAATTTATTATTAATTAATAAGTGACACTAATGACAGAACTAGAGCTTTCAAAAAAGTAGAGCGGCACAAATAAAGTTACATCCAAAGCTGGCTAGATGAAAATCATTTATAACCACTCTGTATTTCATAGAACAAGAAGTGGAACTGAACATTGCTGTTAACATTAAATTTATATCTTATTAGATGTATATTTACAGGATTTCTATCTCTACGTAATAAAACTATTATATAAAATGACTTAATAATAACTTAATAACTACTCTGCCTTGGACCTTACTTATAACTGTAACTAAAGTTCAATTAATTTTTGCACAAAATAAATTGCTTTTAGAGCCGCTGTATACAAGATAAAACATTAGAAGGAATCACAATATCAAGATTTAAATTACTTATGTTAGTTTCTTGGAGTTTTTCTTTATTATTTAAAACTTTTTTTTTCAATTGCTTTTAATATTTATTAATTTATGAATAAAAATTCACTGGTCAGCATTTTGGCAAAGGTTGAGCAATGTTTTGAAATTTTTTGGTGGATCAGAATTTTAAACTAGGATTCCCAAAATGACTTCAGATTGTCACATCACATTTTTTAACAATTCAAAATTTTATATAATAAAATTATTTTTTAAATTAATTTTACATTTAAACGTAACTTAAAGTAATCATTGTATTAATAAAATAGTATATTATGTTACTAGGAGTAAAAGTGATAATTTATGTGGAGAAGATGAACGTTTATTTTATCGAACGCAGTGAAGCAAATAATTCAGCTGAAACACATAAACTCACTTTTACTCCAAATAACATATACCTACCATATACTATTTCATCCACAAACGTATTCAGATTGAGAGTAAAGAACAACACAATAATTATCAAGTATTATTATTCACTCATTTTTATTATTTTATTTCTGCAGTTACAAAAAATTATGTTTCTAGAATCTCATTGCATTACAACAAATATTGAAACTTGAGTTAGATATTGTAACAACCAACATAAATTCATCTCAAGCAGACAAAGATGCATAATTTTAATAAATAATCACTGGTGCTTTATTCTTTTTTAATGGATGTATAAATAAAAGTTGGTTTTTGGTTAAGTTTTAAAGTAAAAAAAAATATGTTGTTTAAAATCAAGTTTGAAATGTTAGTAATGAAATTAGCACATTCAAATATTAATAAGGGTACAATAAAATATACTCCTATTTTTTTATTCTTTTGTTTTTTTAGTTTGTTGTACGCAATGTAGGTAATTAATAAATATCAGTAAACGTTTTTTTTCACTTTTTTTATTGCACAAGTATGTCGTAATTGCAATGGAAACTTGTTGCTACAGCAACCCTTTATCACGAAATATCAGTATTATGTCAAGGTGTCTGATGCAGAATATGTTTATAGCATTATCTCGTTTATTTGAAATTTATTATTCTTAATTAATTAAATATTTTTTCATCTGGTAGTTTACTTGTAGGAGTTAATAAAAACGTAAGGAATCGGGTTTCAAAATCTGTTTTCTACATTCCAATAAGATTTTAAATATTTATATCAAATCATTAATTTAACTAGTTTTTTACAATTAAATTTTAATTCTGTTAATTTAATAGGTATAACATGTTTTTGTGTTACTCTTGAAACAGTAATTTCTATCCTTGACCTGCTCCTATGATAAAATTACTGTAAAAAGGCAACACGCAATATTTGATCATACAATATTAAATGTGGATATTTTTACAGCTGATTTATTTTCTGTATTTAATGTCACAACATACAAAAAAATGAGACAACAAGGTCATTTTGTTAACAAAATGTAAAACGGCTCTTAGATAATAACTTTACTTTAAACTTGGCAAAATTATTTTGAGTCTGACAAATGAAATGGTGATAATACAAAGTTTTGAACCAAGCAAAGACTCGAATTTTGTTTCTCACGACCGACTTCGATTTCAAATTTATTTGATCATTCTTATACAATACATGAAATCAAAAAGTCCTTCTATCAAGTTTGCGTAGGCGTTATTTTTGCAATAAATTCTGACATGAAACTGTGATAGATGATTTGCACTTATTATACAGTGTGATTATAAGAGAGGACCGAATTTCATTATTTCAATTGTTACCGATAAGTAGCAGTGTAAACTTTGGGATAAAGTAGTCAAATTGTTCAAACTCCACTTATATGTATTGCCATTTTTTGACATCTTTTACAGGAACATGGAAAAAATGTTACAAAAATTCTATCTATAAAAATGTCGAAATTATAAGAGTTTAAATTTTGCATTTTGACTTTATTTATTTCTGTTGAAAAAATAATTTTCCAAGTTTTTTTTGCTGCAGGCTATTAGAAGAGGAAACAAGAAAGCTGTTTCCTAAATTGTAACCCTATTTAATGTTATTTGTGCCTTTTATTGGCAAAATTTTTGTACCTTTACTAAATAATTATAAAAAAACACATATACAAGAGTATCAGTATCATTAAATAGACATAAAAAA